AAGAGTGTCTCTTTTTTTAGAGAAAGAGAGAAAAGTGAGGAGAGAGATAGGTAATGGTGTAAGAAGTTTTGGGTAAAGAGAGAATGTGAGAAAGTTGTATGAGTGTAATTCTAAAATTGTTATTGAATTTTTCTCTCTCTTCCGTGGACGTAAAAAATTATTCTAAACCTCTTAAATCTTTATCTTCTCTATTTTTCCGTTATTTTGTTTCAGTTTATTTTTCTGCTGTATGGGTATAGGGATGTGTTTTTCTTAACAATTGGTATCAGAGCTGTAGTGAAGATTAAAAGAAAAAAAATGAGGTCAAGATGATGCCCGGAATAAAGTTTGAGCAGATTAAGCGGTTTGATGGAAAGAGTAATTTCAGTATATGACAGAGTACAATGAAATATGTTCTAATTCAGCAGGGATTACTGAAAGCACTTCAAGGAAAGAAGCCAAAAAATATGAAAGATGAGAATTGAGAAGAATTGAAAGCTAGAGCGGTAAGCACAATTCGTTTAAGTTTGACTCATGAACTAAATATAGTGTTATGAATAAAACATCTCCTTCTGAGTTATGAAAAAAATTAGAAAAAGTTTATATGTTAAATCCCTAACAAATATATGATATTTGAAGAAACAATTATATGAGTTGAATATGGATGAGAAAACTGATATTAGGGATCATATAAATAATTTTAATAATGCATAACTCAATTGTTAAGTGTAGAGGTCAAATTTGATGAGGAAGTTAAATCAGTAATTTTGTTAGCTTCCTTACTAAAATCATATGAGACTTTGGTGACTATATTTTTAGTTGAAAAGATGACGTTAACTGTGAATGAGGTGTCGATTGCTATGTTAGAGACTACAAATATGAAGAAGCCAAGTAGTAAGTCTCATACTGAACAAGTTTTAGTGGCACAGTCAGATTCGAATAGGGGCAAGAGCAAGTCACGAGGGAAATGTTATGATAAAAGAGATGATTGTTCCTAATGCCGACCAAGAAAGGATATTGAGTGCTACTACTGTCATAAGAATGGAACATATTAGGAGAAACTCTGACGAACTGACAAAGCACCTTGAAGAAAAGAGAAAACAAAAAACTCAAGAGACTTCAGATTCTGTAAATGTTGTTGGTGATATGTATAACGATAAAGATGATGTGTATTCTGTTATTGTTGATGAAAATATTTTTGACTCTTGGATCTTGGATTCTAGATGCTCATTTTATATGTGTCATATAAGGAGTGGGTTGGTTCTTATAAGACCTATGATGTCGGTACTTTGTTGATGGCCAATAATTCTAGTGCTAAAGTTGTTATAATACGTACTGTTAAGGTGAAGTTATTTGATGGTGTTATGAGGAAATTAACAAACGTTAGACATGTTCCTCAACTAAGATGGTGAGAAAAGTGAGGAGAGAGATAGACAATGGCGTAAGGATTTTGAGTAGAGAGAGAATGTGACAAAGTTGTATGAGTGTGTAATTCTAAAACTATTAATGAATTTTCTCCTTCTTCCGTGAACGTAGAAAATTTTTTCGAACCACTTATATCTTAATCTTCTCTATTTTTTCTATTATTTTATTTAAGTTTATTTTTTTACTGTATGGGTATAACGGTGTATTTTTTCCAACAGACTGTACTTGAAACGACATTTCCTATCAGTAGAGAACAAACTATAGAAAAGAAATGAAGTTTGATAGTTGGAGAAAGTAACTATGTGTTTTTTCTTTTTATTTTTTATACAACACGAAACGAACCCGCAATCTCTCTCCAAACCCGTTATGTCATTAGACGAACCGATCTTAAGCAAGTATTGTGTTTTTGGGAAAGGAAGATGGCATAGATGATAAAAAAAAAATGGGGAAAAAAAATCAGAGCCTAATGATACCAACAGAGATTGAGTTTTTTCATTTTTTTTATTTGTCTTTTCTTTTATTTTTGTATTATAAACTTGTGCTTTATTAATTTTATTTAACAAAAAAATTGGTTATTTTATGGTCTAAGAAGCTACTAGAATGATATTTTACAAATTGGCTATTTTATTGTCTAAGAAGATACTGGAATGATATTTTAAAAAAATTATAAGAAATATTTGAATATTTTCAAAATAATGAAGTACCAAAATATAATTTTGTCCAAACGCGAGGGACCAAAATAGTAAAAACGCATATTTATTTATTTCAACTTATCTAATAATACTTGGATATTAGAATTAAACACGAATTAGATTCATAGTCGAAAATACCTCAGGTTATTTTTGTGTATATATATCGAATAGTTGTGCTCATTTTCCAAAATCGCGAGTCTTCCTCTAAAACTAAACACCAGATTCTCATCGCAAGAGAAGACTGAATCAGACGGTAAGTTAGGGTTATTTTCTCTTCCGAAATCCCCAATTTGGAGATTGTCGGAGTTCCGAAATCCGCCGGTGAATTCTCGTGTTTTGGCTTCAATGGATACTGGAGGAAACTCGCTGCCGTCGGGAGCCGACGGCGTGAAGAGGAAAGTGTGCTACTTCTACGACCCGGAGGTCGGGAATTACTATTACGGGCAGGGCCATCCGATGAAGCCCCACAGAATCCGAATGACCCACGCCCTTCTCGCCCACTACGGCCTTCTTCAGCACATGCAGGTCCACAAGCCCTTCCCGGCCAGGGACAAGGACCTCTGCCGCTTCCACGCCGACGACTACGTCAACTTTCTCCGCAGCATCACGCCCGAGACCCAGCAGGACCTGCTCCGCCAGCTCAAGCGCTTCAATGTTGGCGAGGACTGCCCTGTCTTTGACGGTCTTTACTCCTTTTGTCAGACTTACGCCGGCGGCTCTGTCGGCGGCGCGGTGAAGTTGAATCACGGCCACGATATCGCCATCAACTGGGCCGGTGGGCTCCACCACGCCAAGAAGTGCGAGGCCTCTGGGTTTTGCTATGTCAACGACATCGTGTTGGCGATCTTGGAACTCCTTAAGCAGCACGAGGTTTGATTTTTTGTTTGTTTGTGTTTTTCAATTGCCCTAATTTTTTTTTTCTTTGTTTGTGTTTGGTTGTTCTTTTGTGATGAGATTTATGTTCTTTTGTGATGAGATTTATGTTCTTTTAGTGCCTTGTTAAGTAATTTGGAAAAAAAAGTTAAAAATAAAATTCCTAAGAGCAATTATGTTTCTGGGTAGCCTGAGTTGTTGCATATTACAGCAGTTTTTGCACAATGAATATTGTCTGTGTCTGTTTGACTTTTGAGATAGATTTTGGTTAAGAACCCTAATATTATAATGAAGTCTCGCCTTGGAATTTGGTCTCGTTATGTGGGTATAGTATAGTTTGGCTTTAGGTGATCTTTCTTGGTAGAAAAAATGCTTCATCTTATGTTTAATCTTTTGCAGCGTGTTTTGTATGTGGATATCGATATCCACCATGGAGATGGTGTGGAGGAGGCCTTCTACACAACTGATAGGGTCATGACGGTTTCATTCCACAAGTTTGGAGATTATTTTCCCGGTACTGGGGACATAGATGATATTGGATATGGGAAAGGAAAATATTACTCCCTTAATGTTCCACTTGATGATGGAATTGATGATGAGAGCTACCATTTCTTGTTCGAGCCAATCATGAAGAAAGTGATGGAGGTCTTTAAGCCTGGTGCTGTGGTTCTCCAGTGTGGTGCGGATTCTTTATCCGGGGACAGATTGGGATGCTTCAATCTTTCGATCAGAGGCCATGCTCAGTGTGTCAAGTATATGAGATCGTTCAATGTCCCACTATTACTTCTAGGTGGTGGCGGCTATACCATCAGGAATGTTGCCCGGTGCTGGTGCTATGAGGTATAATTCTTGCTTCCATTTGCCATTTTAATCTCGTGGAAGTGTAGTAAGTTTCAGTGGTTAATGACATTGGGTTTGATTTATTGTTATTCACTTCCACATGGGGAGATTTTTGTCTTGTTAGTGCTAATATGTGATGTACTTGTGCCTTGCAGACAGGAGTTGCTCTTGGAGTAGAAATTGAGGACAGAATGCCTCAACATGAGTACTACGAGTATTTTGGTCCAGAGTATACTCTTCATGTCGCCCCTAGTAACATGGAAAACAAGAATTCACAACTATCACTGGAAAATATAAAATCTAAGCTTCTTGATTATCTTTGCAAGCTTCAGCATGCACCAAGTGTCCAATTTCAGGAAAGACCTCCTGAAACTGAACTTCCAGAGGTATGTTTCTGCAGCTATTTTTCACTGGAGGGTGGAGGGACGTTTTTACATATAATATTGAATGCTCATTTTATTTTTGCACGATGATGTTCTTGGTTCTCTCTCATTATATATAGCTATGAGAATCAAGTTTTCTTCTGACTGTGTCTAGTAAACTTGCATCTGGAGAACTATATATCTTCTAGATGCCTTTGTTCCTGAGTTAATGCTGATCAAGAACAAAAACTTCAAATCTGATTTCGTGCTGTTTGATAATGTTCAGGCAGATGAAGATCAAGAAGACCCAGATGAGAGATATGACCCGGACTCTGACATGGACATTGATGATGAGCGGTAGTTTATTTGTCTTATAGCTCTTTTTCATCGTTGTTTACCTCTTTGCAATTTACTGACTGACTGTTTATACAGGAAGACTTTACCAAGCAGAGTAAAGAGGGAATTAGTTGAAACTGAGCCTAAAGATCAGGTATGCTCTTTTTAATGAGTACATTCAGAGACTTATCTTATACTCTCAGCATTTCAAAGTTATGACTACAACATATTAAAATGTTTTCTTTCTTGTCTTAGCAATTATCATTGTATTATCGTCTTATTCAGTTTAATTTGTGAGGATGGCCTTAGATATCGAGGATTGCATTTAAATTAGTTCGAGAAAGGAGAATATACGGTTATAAGTTTTGGATTACTAAGATGAAGCATGCTATAATGCATTAAATTTATGGCCATATTCACCATTGCAGCTAGTAGTGGAGAACTTAACCATTTTATATGGCATAACTTGAGGTATTATATATCTCCTAAAATGTTTTACCTAGACAACCATAATTTGGAGTTTGGGAGGAGATAACATCAAATGACATCTCGCTAATACCTTTAATCTATATATTAAACTACTCGTATACACCTAGCTGGTATTTTCTATTTTGAACAAGACCTTATAGGTCCTCTTCTTACGTTCATTTGCCTCGATAATTCTTATCATTATTTTGGTCCTACGTTCCCATCCTTCAGGAGATTCAGAAAGGAAGTGCAGAGAATGCTAAAGGCTATGATACTACAGGAGATGATGCTACATTTACAAAGGTGAAATTCTACTCATCAGAATGCCATATTAAACGCGCATAATCTTTATAATTCTTTCATATTAACAGTTCTTTGTCAACAATCAATATTTTCAGGCTTTAGATGTGGGTTCTGTTTCAATAGATGAACCAAGTGTGAAAACCGAGCAGGAGACCATGAACAAGCCAACTGACCAGATGCAACTCTAGAGCCACAGCCTACAAAATCTAACTCTTTATGTTTCTGTGCAGAGTTATTTGTTGTATTTATTAGTAATTTAGTATCATTTTCGAACACTCGTTGAATGAGTTGAGAACGGGTAAATAGTGGGGGGGCTTAAACGTTCGAGTTGAACTCCAATTTATGAAAAATTTGATCCAGATTTCAAAAGGTTTAATCTAGACTGATTTATTTCTACTTCACGGAAGAGTTTTGTGTCATGTTTGTTTTGTTCCAGAGATTTTGATAATATAGAAAGCCCTATGTGCTCTTCAATGAAACTTCTGACCTTTTTTCCTGACTCGAATATTATGTAAATATTATCATTGTTGTGTGCGACTGTGTAATATGAGGCGAATTCAGCCGTCTCTTTAAGCAATTGCTTTTAGGAACGACATTTTTTCTTGGCATAAACAAGTGCGATCTTTTTGACGGCACGTCCTTATATCATATATAAAGGAAAAACTTTACTTGACGAGGGGAATGCCGTGTTTTGACAAAAACGACAACAATCTTAATTAAACAAACGACATGTTATTCAGCAGTAGAGAGAATTTGTAGATTATAAATTATAAATGACATGTCCACTGTTTTTCAGAGAATTTGTAGATTAATTTATAAAAGACATGTCCTCTGAAACTGACAATGAACTCCTTTCAACTAAACGACATTTCCGTATGAAGCCCACCGAAAACTCCATTATAGTAAACGACATGTCTGCATTAATTAACATTTGACACCAATCTCTTTCTAATTGAACGACATGTAGCTTGGGATGAACGATAACAAGCGGGCTTGTGAACTGAAGAAACTACATGTCGTTTCCACAACAGCACGTTCTAAATAGCGAACGACACGTTGAAATCCTTAAACGACAGAAATGACGCAAGTAAAATTTTAAGCAAAAAAATTGTTTTTCCCTAAAAAAGATTGCGGACTTCTAAACATAAATGACGTCTTCGTTTTATGTTAAAAGCGTAATGTCGTGAAACAACGACGCATTTTAAACTAACATCCTGTTTTGTACAAATTAGATGACAGAAAAATAACATAATCTTATTCCAACATAAACGACAAGCGGCATCTCGCTTTTCCATGACAGCAAACTTTTCAAAGGAAAACAATTTCCTTTTATCACGAGAATGAAACATGTTCATATAGACTTTATATTCATCCATAATTTTGCAATTGAACTTTTCTTTTTTAAGAAGCAAATAAACAAATTATAAACAAAAAGAAGAATATAACAGAGCTGGACCAACAAAAGAACCCAGAAATATCAGCCCCAACCCAATAAAAATAGAAAATATTCGACGAGCCGAAGTAGTATATCCGACATGCCAAAGTTTCCACCAATATATACCCTTGTGTGACTTCTCATGAATCCTGTATCCATCAACTGTATGTGGCAGAGTTGCCAAGGCTACTCTTAAAAAAGGTTGGAAAGACTTATCTTCCAGTTCTGTAGAGACCAACTAGTGTTAGGATCCCAATGTTTTTTCGAGATCAAATGCAAAACGGGAACCTCTGGCAGCGTTGATCTAGACCTTTGAAGGCAAGAGTTAGGTAAGCAAGGTTGAGAAGGTATCAGCAAAACTCAACAGCCAACTGTTCTGATGATTTTATCAAATTGAGCTTAGCTACACAAGGTTGAGAAACTATCACCAAAACTCAGCGCGTCCGGTATTCCGATGATCTTAACAAATTGACCCTTCTGGTTTGCAATGTTAGCTAGCACAGGGACTCTTTCGTTGCTAGAGCTCTGCATCCACCAAAAAAAAAAATCAACAAACACATGACACAAACATATCAGCTTATTAAGTGTTCATGTGAATTTATTAAATGACACAGCCCTCCATTATTGATTTGCAAAACCAAAGTCCGTTCTAGACTAGAGATTTAATATCCAACCGTCCTACTTCTGGCTCTAAATTCTTGTTCCTTTTTCTTTTTTCATTTGGTTAAGTAATATCCATATTCATTACAGGGGGGGACTAGATTCTTTGGGGGTAAAAAGAACAATATGAAAAGTTTTGGGCAAAGCGGAGTGAAGAAAGTCAGTACTAGATTGTTACTTGAGGAGTAAAATGTCACAAACTAACCTGCGGGTTAGACTGATGCATTCTCTATCTAAAAGGCCAACTAGGTGCCCTCGGTGATCTTCAAATTGCTCTCTGACCACAGGAACTTGATTCAAGCCACGCCTATTCATGATTATGTTGACAGAAAGTAGATCCATACTGGGCGTTGCAGCCCATGGTATCCTACATTTTTCACCATCTAATGAACACATTTCAGAAACCAAAAGCTCCTGCAAAATAAGTTGCCAATTAGTTTAAATTCACTTGGTAATAGGCATTTTAAATAGTGGCAACACTTAAATAAGTGGGGAAACTGAAAGAAAGGTGTCTAACCTCGGATCTTCTGCTTCTAGATTTTGTATATTTACTGAATTCTTCAATGTCGCTGAGTGTAAGCAAACCAATTAAAATATTATCGTGATCAACAATCATAGCACAAGGCTGCTTTTCAGTAAGCATAAGATTCAATGCTTCAGTAAGCATCGTGTTCATCAGAACAGTCACATATCTGGTCCTCATGGCTTCTGAAACGAGTATTTTCTTTCCTAAATCTTCCGTTTCAGCATCAGACTCATCTATACAGAGTGAGCTTTCAATTTCACAAAGGTCACTCATATTTGACTTCTTTTCTGTTGGAGCATAATTTAAAGGTAGTCCACTTGCACCGGAGGGAAGCATGTCAGGTTGTTGAATTTCGCGAGTTTTTCCCTGTTTCAGTTTCTTTTTACTCTTTGCCTCTCTTCTCCTCATCTGTCCAGATGTAACCCATGAAGACAACCCCACAGCTCCTAGTAATGGCAGAACAATCCGATAATCCTGTGTCAGTTCAAAGAGCAGCAGAACTGCGGTAAGAGGTACCTGACATACACCTGCAAGAGTAGCAGCCATCCCTACCTGCAAATGGAGACTCTGTATGATTAGCCACAACCTGGTTCTGAACGTTGATGCTAGATTTAGGACACCAAACTACAAAAAGGCTACTTTGCTACCGTAAAAAGGATCAATTCTTTCTACACGATTAATCTATGTATGTACAAGGCATGTTTGTGCATATTTCAAAACTTGCCTCGACAGAAATCACAGTTGAGATTCTCCATCACCTGTTCTTTCTTATGTTTCTCTTTTCTTATTGCTTTTGGTTAAAATGACCGACGCCGTCAAAACAAAAGAAAAGAAAAGGGGAAAAATTAAGGAGGCACAAAAATGTACTTCCTTAAAGAGGTTTCTGTACCCGAGGATAATGGAAATTTTAATACCTTTTCAGCATGAAAAGAGCCAATTCCTTCCAACCTCAAATGTGATTTCTGTTCTGAGGAATATCAAAAGAGAAATACATTGTGGATAAACCATAAATACCAATGGCGTATTCAACTCTTCGAAGCACACTCATATATCGCTGGTATAAAGTGGCCTAGAACAATACCAGGCCGTATGCTTGTGGTGTTGCGACTTCCAAGATGGAGAGATCGATAATAGGATTGGGCTGAGCAACTGCAAAGCAGATGATCTTCCCATATGCCATTCCCGTTGCGGCACCAATAAAGAGGGATGGAGCATAGTAGCCTCCCACTAATCCAGAGGCACGACACAAAGAGGTTGTTAATATCTTCACTGCTACCAACTGAAGCAATAGATCAGCTGAGAGGCCTTTCACAAATGGGCGAGACTCCAACAAAATATCAACATTCTCAAAACCCCAATACAGAATTTCAGGGTACGCCAATGCTATCAAGCCAACAGCTAAGCCACCCAGTAGAGGAAACGAAGCCTTTGGTACACCAGTGTTCTTGTGAATATCATCAACAGTTGCCACCAAGTACGATGTGCACTTAGATAGTGCTAATGAGACCAAACCACACAGTAGTCCCAGAAGTAGATATAGCGGAAGCTCTGAAAGGGAGTGGAAGAGCTCTCATAAGCAAAGCCTTACCTTTCTACATTCAGCCAAAAAAATAAAAATCTTTATCTTTTATACGAAAGCTTCAAACATTTTGCTTAGAGCACATAGACGACAGGGAGCCTCGGGATGTTCAGTGAAATAAAACATTTCAAACAAAAATATTCGACCTCGAACAGAAGCAATGGCAAGTCAAGTTTACAGCAAAGTTAACTAAAATGACCTAGCAGAGGCACAGTCCTTTGAGGAAATCTTCTAAAACAGATTCTTAATCATATTTGAACCCATGATTTTGATTCTGCTAGTGTTCATCTCATAAAGAATTTGAATTAAAAAATTTCTTTACTCACAAAGTTCCCACCAATGAATTAAAATCACTGACTTACGTTTGAACCAAACGGACCATAACAAGTATGTGTCTAACATGCATATATGTCTGACCATAAACAGCCAGATACAAGTGGTTTACCAGTAGGTGAGCGGAAGTCATACTCTGGGACCTTAAACGCTGGTTCAGAACCCATACCAACTTCAGAAACTACGGAACCTACAACTGCACTAAGTATAACCATAGAAGTGGTATTGGTAAGCGTCATGGATGAAGGGTCCGACGGTGATGGCCACAAGACTGACTCCACCGCAAAGAAACAACCAGCTACAGCAGCATTGAACCCTGTCAAAAAAAAAAAAAAAAAAAAAAAAAACAAAGCACATTAAAAGATAGTAACCAAAATGCTAAGCACATTAAGTTATTTGAAGTACAAACCAGAGGCAATTCCAGCGGCTGATCCCGCGGCGACAAGGGAAAGCTTTCTGCTCGAGGTTTTATCTAAGAGAGTGTTGACGCCCTTGGCTATGGAGGTGCCTATTTCAACGCTGGGACCTTCAGGCCCCAACGAATAAACAAAGCACATTAAAAGATAGTAACCAAAATGCTAAGCACATTAAGTTATTTGAAGTACAAACCAGAGGCAATTCCAGCGGCTGATCCCGCGGCGACAAGGGAAAGCTTTCTGCTCGAGGTTTTATCTAAGAGAGTGTTGACGCCCTTGGCTATGGAGGTGCCTATTTCAACGCTGGGACCTTCAGGCCCCAACGAATTCCCCGTGCCGAGAGTGACGCAGGCAGCGACTGCTTTGAGGAATGGACGCGACGCAGCACGGAGTCCGTCGAGAATCGAATTCCGAGCTCCACTACCTCCAAATCGGCCGCCATTGATTTTCTCCGAATCATCGTCGTTATCATCTTCTAGAGCACTTTGGAGCACGTTGATGAAGCCGACGATCAGACCTCCAGAAGCCGGAACCAGAATCACTCGCTTCCAGATTTCCCCAATCGGCTCCTCCCTCAGCCATGACGCGCCTCTGTACGGAATCCCGTCCCAGAACAGGTCTCGAATCTCGTGCACCTAATGCAAAACAACAAAAATCGATGAACTCACAAAAAAAAATTGTTGATGAACTAGAGCATATTAGGGCTAATGCAGTACTCCATTGTTGAAGAGAACGACGCCGATGCCGGTGAGAAGACCGATTAAGCACGACGACAATATAACCGTGGAATTCCCTTGGCCATTGTCATTGGACAAACCTTCATCGTCTTGTTCTTGTTCTTCTCCTTGTTCGCCATTTTCTTCTTCTTTGAGGACGGAAGATTGGGATTGGCGACTCTGAGAGAGAGCAAAAGGAGGCCTTAGAAGAATTTGGAGTTTGATAGAGCTACTATTTCCAAGACTAGTTCTACTTCTACCATTTTTTGAGGTTGAAGAAGAATAAGAGACGAAGAGTGAGTTTCTTTTGGAGGTTGAAGAAGACGATGATCGGTGAAGAATTTGAGAAGATTTGGTGGAGTAAGGGATAGAGAGCTGCGAGTTCGGGAGTTGCCATGCAAATTCCATTGCCGCCATTATCTTCTCGGCCAATCACGTACTATCCAACTGAAAACCGTACCAGCAACGGATAATGTTTTTTTTTTTTAAGAAAAAAATAGAAATTAACTAACAAATCCATATTATATTATTTTTATAATTTCCATTTTTTTTAATTTCCTCTCCTCAAATATACTTTTTCCCTTATGAAAAATACTTTCTTACATTCAACTTAAACCAATATGCCAAAGATGGATACAAATTATCTATTATCGTAAACAAAACATTCAAATCAATATTTCAACTAAAGAATAGGATGATATTGCTCATTGAGCAAAAAAAAAATGTTATATAACACATAGGTATATCTATGGGTGGCAATTCGTGTCACGTGTCATGTTTTGATTATTTTTTTTTTAAATTTGCAGTCAACCCGAACACGACCCGTGACACGAAATTTTTTAAAAACCGCAACACGAACACGACACGATCACTTTACGAGTTGACACGATAAGACCCGAAAATAACCCGTGACACGAAATTGACCCGTGAATCTGAAATTGACACGAAAATTGTATACTTTTATTTAATTTTTTACATATTAAAAATAACTTAAAATTCATAACACACTAAATTACAATAACATCCATTGAAATTAAGCAAATAATAGTATAAGATTTTGAGTATAACTATCATGATATCACAAGTTCATAATAAAATTTAAAATATGAAATGAAAAATATATGTATTTTTTAGTTTTTTACGAGTTTCGTGTCGTGTTCGGGTTAGGCGGGTCCAACCTGAAATTGACCCGTGTTTTTCGTGTCAATTTCAGGTTGACCCGATTCTGACCCGAACCTCTTTTTTCTCAACCCTAACCCGCAAAATTCATGTCGTATTATCGTGTTGTGACCCATATTACCGGCCGTATATCCTCACTCTCTCATAAAGAATAAAAAAAGGGACCTTGTAAGGTTATTTTTTTATAAGAAAGTGAAGATTTATCTATCCAGATAAATAGAATTACTTCTAAACAAACACATCACTCTTTATATAATCTTAAATAACACGTGAAATCCAAGGATGGAAAACTTGGAATGAACCATGTCGAGCAATTTTAACCTCGAAAATCTTCCAAAAATAGGAGGATGGCAAGATCAAGCACGGATTCATACTTTCATTCTTCTATAAGACGTTTGAGTGCGTAGTTCCAAATAATCAATGAAAAGTTCAACAACTATATGAAGCCTTCGTTGAGTTAAATGCTCTAAAATCTAAAGTGCGTTTCGAATTAGTTCTAAAATAATTTTATTTTTTATATGAAACTGTAATGAAAACATTTTTAATTTTAGACAAAAATCGTTTCTGAAAATGCGTTTGGTAGTTTTATTAAGAGATTATTTTCAATTTAAGAAAAAACTAAAACTCTATTTAGTTATATAATTTTCACTCACCTACTCAAAAAAAAAAAAAAAAGGCATCTGCCCAAAGAAATAGAAACAAAAAATGAAAAATAACTTTAAATAATTTTCATTTTCTAAGTGGTTTTACACTAAACAAAAAAATGAAATTATTTTTAGTTTTCTTACTTTTTTTTCTCCAAACACATTTTCTCTTTCAATCTCATTTTTTTGTCTTGAAAGACATGAAAAATAAAAACAAAATTGGTTTCAAACACGCTGTATGTGTCTTCCTTCACTTCAATTCCAATTTTTACATGTTTGTGGTTGTTTAATATTTTCTAATTGAATCTCAATTATGAGATTCGGGTTTTTGTTAACACTATGCAAAACATCACCAAACCCTTCTTTTGATATTTGCGTAAACTTATAAAGAAACAAGTAATTTGTTATTAAAAAAAATTAACACATGTTATTTAGATAGTGCCCTGGAAGAGGGAAGCAATTACTGTATGTTTGTGACATGTTCACTTACACGTAATCAGAGTGGACATATTCAGAGTGGATATGATTTGGATGGACATGAATCGGAGTTAGGAATTGGAGTCAGAATAAGTTGTTTACTTAAGTTTCAAGAATCGGAGTCGGAATCAATCTCAATCTCATTCATGTATTTACTTGTACCAAAAATCAGAATAAACTATTATAAATTTACTTACTTATCATTTTAATGGTAAGAAAGAATTTGACCATGGCACTAGTAAGAAAAAAATAATAAAAAAATAAAATAAAAATAAAAAAACTAAGGTCCGAAATTCAGTGAAAAGCTAGCTACATGTAAAGTGAAATATAAGTATTGTAGAGATCAAAATGCATTGAACTATCCTTAGCTTATATATATAGTTACCCATTAATGTATATGACCAGATGGCATGGATCTGCACGAATCTTTGAAATGATCTAGTGATGAAACGCAATATTGACAATACTTTGGCCTTTCATATATCAGCCACGGATTCAACAAATAAAAAAAAAAATTTAAGGGCATCTTCAATTTTACACTTTTAATTTTCTATTTATAAATTTGTAGGTAAAATTAAAAGTAAAATCGTATTTTAATTTTATTATCAATATTGGGAGTGCCAATCCGGTAAGATAGAAGGATTGTCAATCTCATTTTTCAACTCTAAATTGATGTGGGATCCACATATTTTCACTCTCATCCTAAGATAAAAGTGAATAAGTAAACATAGTGTTGATTCCGATTCTCCACTCTAATAAGTAAACATGCTATTGATGTGTCCAAAAAAAAAATGTAAAAAGTGTATAAAAGAGCAAATCAAATGCTTTTTTTGCCCAAAGAAAGTTAGAAGTCCTATGCTTTAGACACACCGAACTCAAGATCTCAAATTCTGTTCACTTCTCTCACTAATTAGCAACTTGATATTTTCTTCTTTCATTGAAGGAATAAAGATTTTGGCAGAAGCAGCTTGCTTCTCAGCCTCCACAGCCCAACTGTAGACGATCATGCCGATTACGGCAAGCGCCATTCCAAGTATGTTTTTCAGACCCATCTCCATATCAAAGAGTGACCAACCCATTGATAGGACACACACAGTTTTCATGTGGCCTAAAACCTGGAAGGACACAGCTGAGAAACGCCCAATACAGAGGTATTGGCTGATGTTGCAGAATACCGCTAAAGTGCAAGAGAGTAGGATAAAAATCTGCACATTATAGGTGATGACAAAGGTTGAGAATTTATTTATAAATCGTCAAATGAGCTGCAAAGAAAATTGTAAAAAAATAAAAATAAAAATAAAAAAATAAAAAATAAAAAATTAAGGACTACTTACAACGGCTCCAATGGAAAGGTTATAGCTTGATATGAAATTTCCGGTCAAGCAGTAATCGATGAATGGACCGCAAAGTAGAAGGAAAATAGCTTGAATTTGAGCTGTCTTGCTCAACAATTCAAAAGAGCCTATTGAGTATTTCTTCTGTAAGGAACCTATTGTCTGTTCTCAAAAAGATAATAAGCACAAAAACATCAGCCTGCAGGTATTGATTCCGCTCTTAAGAAATACTTTTATTGGTTTTTGTGTCAATCACAATCCAAAACTGCTTTAGAAGTGCATTGTTTTTAGTTTAATGTGTTTGTGTGCCGATCACTTTTACGTTATTTTAACAAACACAATTCTGCTTAAAATTTTGTGTGAAAGGCAAAAGCTCCAAACGGAGCCTATAAGAAGACCGAGACTAATGGAAAGACTACTCACAATTTGTTGCAAGGATGTGGAGAAAACTGCTACACAAGCACAGAGAAAACCTTTGGCGTTAACTTTGACGTCGGTCACCGTACAGACTCCGACACCTATTACTACCATTGCCACGGCCATTTTCACTTCCCTTGAGTAGTGTTTCCCGTGGAGAATCCACTCCATAATACACACCACAGGAATCATGCTTAGCCTTGATATCTAGTAAACCCGAAGAAAACAACGAAAACATTCATCAAATGCATTCACATCTTACTTTAAAAGAGGGAAAAAAAAAAGTAGTAGCCTCATAGGAGAAAGGAGTGGCTGAAGAGTGTATGAACCTGGTAAAATCCGACAGAGTTGAGCATGAGGCTGAAGTTCATCCCTGCGATCGATGTGTTTGCGACAATCGAAAACCAAATGAGTTCCCATAATGGGACATGCTTTGATGTGGAGTAACCAGCAGCGTTTGACACTAAACCAACCAAGGAGGTTGCTGAAAAGTGGAAGCCAGTCAAAGTTGTTGCTGCATAAAAGATGACATTGTCAAGTATTTTAGGAAAGTAATTTATAGACAAAAAACTCAACATTAACTGGATGTATGCTATTTGTGGTGAAATTTATTTGAAAGTACGGTGATTGTCTTATATAAATGGTTTTTGATTTGGAAAGTTACTTCCTATCCCCCAAAAAAAAAAAAAAAAAAAGAAAAAACAACAGTGAAAAACACAAAAGTTGCGGTTTATGGTTCGGATTAAAGGCCTAATGATGCGCGGTTCTTCAAACCAATCATTATTTAAAGGCTCCAAGAATTTAATTAGTTTATGAGAATGAAGCATACAGAGAAAAGCTCCTGCAAAAAGAGCAGCATATGAAAAGAACAAAGGAATTCTTGTTTGGATTTCTCAAGTGAAAATCCAACATATTAAAGAAGATAAACAAAGTTGGCATATAGTTCAAGAGTAACAAGTTCAATCAGGAAAAAAAAATTTAAAAATTTAAAAAATTTTAAAAAAAAAAGAGCCAGAGAACTGACCAAAACCAAAAGCAAAGCCCTGGGGGTTCATGAGCAACTTGTTGGCCATGATAATGCCCACAGAACTCACAACATTCATAGTCCAAGCTCCAAAATCACACACTTCAAATTTTGATTTTTTCTCCCCCATTTTACACATTATCTCTCTCCACTTTAGTACTTCTTGTCTAATTAATTTCCTTTCTTCTTGTTTTCTTTTATGTAGGACTTAGTGTAATTTATATATAATAAGCCAGTGGATGAGAGATGGAGAAGCAAATCATGGAGAAGCAGTTAAGCAATCTGTCTCATCTCTCACAAGTTGTCCCTGTAGAGCGATCGTGTTTTGTTAACACATATAAAACAGACGCAAACTAACACAATACATACAATTGCAAACAAAAAAAAAAGGGACGAAAGTGAGAGGAGCCAAGTGCAAAATATTTTGCAGGCTCTATATTCTTTTCTTTCGCTTTTCTGTATCTTTCAGCAACCACCATGTTACTCTCATCCCCGCTAAATCATCAATAATGTTAATAGTTAACGTTAATATCAATGTATTTTTAAAATCCAGTGACAATGAAAACTACCCTTTTCCACTTAGGTACAAATGCACCCATCAAAAGTCCAAACTTACCATTCACACTTCCTATAAACTTTTTCGACCATTTTTTCCTCGCTTTATTTGATTCAGAGGAGGAAAATTGTGCAAGCCTAGAACAGCGGAATAAAGAATTGTATTTATTTATTTTTGTATTTATCTTAATTAATTTTCTAGATTAGATTTTCTCTTTATTTAAATTTTAGGAAGTAGATAATTATCTAGTTTAATAAGAAGGATTGGAAAACCTATCCAATCTCATCATGTGTTTTGTATACAAATATTCATCACTCCGTGAAAAGAGGCAATGCCATATTTTTCTAATTCTATACTTTACGTTAAATTACACAAAATAAAAATAATCAAGCACGTTTTACAAATAATTAGCATGAAAACCGAATCTATAACATCTAATATCCCGCGTTAGTTTTTGCACCATTCAGCTTGATCTTAGAATTTATATTAATTGGATGAATATTTATTGGAAAATCTAGGGAAGCGTAAAAATTTATATATGTTCCAAATTATTATTTTTTTTAAGGGGATCTAAAATATTATAAAATATCATGAAAATTAAGAAATTTGAGCCTTACAATTTACATCTTTAATTATGTGTCTTCTCTTAGAATTGAGTCATAAATTTCTATGCTTCCCATGTGCGTTAAGACTTTATAGGGCATATTCCCTAATTTTCTTGATGAAAATTTTAAAGAATAACAAGAATTGAAGGATAAATTAGTAAATTGCAGCAGGTTTTAAGAAACGAAATTCATGATTTTCTTTTCTCCTCAAAATCCCCATATGCCCCTCGATGACGCCGTCTTCCATGAGATAATTTATCAAGTAAATAAATTGATAAGTATTGGATAAATAATTGCAATAGATAAAGAATTTATTTAATATATGGTGCACCAGAGAATCTCTACATAAGGATCTTCTCTTACACTAATATACTAGAAAATGTCCATATATATATATATATATATATAACAAGTTTTATATTTTTGTAGTGTATTAATTTTTTACTCACTCATTTTTATAGTTTATTTAATAAACAGTTTAACTTAAATTTAAAAAAAAACACACACACACACACAAACTAAAAAGAATCTTCAAAGTGAAACAAATTATAATCCAATAAAGAAAACAATTTGAGTGGGGGAAGATAAGTCTGTGAAAACTGAAACTGTAATGCGAATGCAACAATAATGTCTCAGTGGCTTTTTCATGAATTAATTACAAAATTTTCCCTAAAATTATAACACTTATAGCACTTTTAACTCTTAATTTTTAAAATATAACGGCCGTTTTCTTCCAAGTTTGAATTGTTAAAAGAAAACTCATTCAGCTAAGATTTCTAACAGAATAGACACCTGTGGCATTGGTGTTAAATAGTTTAGTGCAAAATTACTCATTTACCCCTCACCCTTAATTCATAGCTTTAAAATGGAATTTATTTTTCATTTGATATTTACAGTGAATTAAACAAAACAAAAACAAAATTTATTAAATTTTTAATTTTACCATTTTGATAAATTGAATGATCAGAAACTCCTTCAGGGGGAAAAAAAAAAAAAAAAAGGCCAAACAAGTTACATTCTAGGAATCCAAACATAATTCGAAAACGATTCATATAATTATAGTCCATTTGGTAAACATAATTCGAAAACGATTCATATAATTATAGTCCGTTTGATTAGAAAATTCATTTTCTAATTTAAATTATGTTCATAATTTATTATAGTATTTTTTCTCTAAAAAAATACATATAAATTAAAAATAATTTTAATTCATGAACTAAACAAACTCTTATTTTTTGTCCACGGGATTTATGCGGCCTCCGTAACCATCGCCGCCTCTGTTTTGAAGAGAGGAAATTTTTTTTAACACAGCATAATATCACATTCTACAAGAAAAGGAGAGATCGTAAATCTCACAAACCCATCGCCCCTCCCCCGCAGCTCCAATCCACGACGCCCCTGCCCTCCCCATTTTCATCAAACAAATAAGGTGCAACCCACCATCAGTCGCGACCCGGTCTCACGGCCCATCGATGGGTCTCGCAACCGAGTGGATCTTGCCTGCCGGCTACCTCCGATGCTGTTTGCGGCGCCCGAAGAAGCTCGTTTCCAATTCAAGAATTAGCACCTTGTGGCTGGACGTTGGGAAGGGGGAGGGGAGTTGCTGGGAGAAGCTTAGGGGAGATATGATTTAATCAGATCTGAGGTTTTTGTTTTTGTTTTTTTTTTAATCTTTTTACGAGAGCACGCAATATTACTAAAATGCCCCCAGCTTATACACCGTAAACAATTCATACTTCGAGAGGAAAATATGTTCGAGAGGTAAAGTATTTAACGGTTATAGTTTAAAATAAATTTTTATAACTAATCCCCTTTTGCAATTGTCTCTTAAAATTATGCTTATGTAATAGCTTCTTTTTCAAGGGTGTTAAAAAATCCACAAAATTGCTCTGTTTAAATCAACTAAATCGTTAGTTATTTTTAAATTTTTGGCGGTTTTGTCGGGCTTTTAGTCTAATTTTTTTTTTGGGTTATTTAATGTTAGTGGTTTGTGGACGAAACAATTGTAAAATTTACTCTTAAGATTAAGAGTATATGAGTTTAGATTTTTACTTTTAATTTTTAATTAATACATTTTTGGTAATATAATTATTTGACTAAAAAGGTTACTAATCAAAAGTAAATGGTAGAAATTCTGACGCATGCATTTTTAAGGGGTATTTGTCTCATTTTCTCAGTTTAGACCACTCAAACTGCCCAATAGTCCGCCTAAAAATATACATATATAATTTTTTATTTTTAAAATATTTTCTTTATTTTAATTTTTATTAGTCATAATAGAGGTTATACAATTATAAAATACACCCTACCACATTTTTATCGGTTTGTATTAAAATTTTGAATAGTAAACTTTTAAATATTTGTTATTTCTGAATAATGTAGTAACCTTGAATCTTATTTTTATTTTTATCAATTAATTGTGTTTATAATTTTTGTGAATTATTGAAAGTTTTTTTAATTTTGAGCTAAAAACGTCCAAATTAAGGGTGCGTTTAGAATTAATTTTTGATTGTTTTTTAAAACATTTCTTTACGTCTTTTAAGACACGAAAATGAAAACAACATGCAAACTGTGTTTGTTTAATAAATGTTTTAAAAATGAAAACGAAAATAAAAAATAGTGAGAATGATTTTTTTGAAGAAATTAGAAAACGGTTAAAAGTTATTTTTCATTTTCTGTTTTCATTTTTCTAATTCTTATCAACAATGTTATAATATATTAATTAATAATTATAACCAAACAAGATTTCACTTTTTTATTATACTTAAAAATAATCTCTTAAGAAATTAACCAAACATAATTTCAAAATCGGTCTTAGAACGATTTTTAAAACAATCTTATTTTTATTTTCACACTAAAAATAAAAGCATTTTAAAAATGTTACCTAATGGACTTTAAACCGTCCAAACTGCTCATAAATAATTTAATTTGATTTGATTTATGTTAAAAATTTAAAAATATCAAACGGCCCAAAAAGAAAAATTATTTCTGATTTGATTCCTTATCATCCCTTTTCTTGAGTTTGGCCAAAAGCCAAGTTACACTAGGCAAGGATGTGGGATGACGTGAAGAGCTTGCTAGTTGCTATTGCTGATTTCCAAACACAGTACACGGTGCCCTCCCGCTTCATTCTTATCACCAAAAACTAGCCTACAACTGTATGTCATATATATTATTTTTTGAGGGAGAAAAAAGAAGAAGTAAAAAGACAACTGCAAATATATTTTCATTAGATCAACTAAGTCGCTTCGTTCATTCCATAAAGTTGATTAAAAGATGTTGCAAAAAAGCCTCTTTGAACAGACGTAAAACACGTAAGAACATTAATTAACTTGGTTAAGAGCAAAAACTCGTATTTTACATTTCTGCAACAAATTGTAAGCCGTTCTACTTATACATGGGAAACGAATTCAATGGCAGCCGAGGGGGAAAAAAAAAAGGCTTTATTTTCTCACGAGTCATAATGCAATATAATTGACAAAAGTGTGTCTTGCACAAGAGTAACATTTAAATAAAGATATAACCATCTTATTAGTTTTAGCTCTCTTTTCCCAGGAAACAAACATAGTGGATGAGTCACAACGACAAGGTCAGCATCAACTATCTAAGAAGTGTGCTTCCTTCGTTCTACTCGTTTTTGTCCAGAGTTTTTACTTTTGATTGCCCCTAAAGATTAAGTTGTCTGGCTATTTGCATTTACTTTCCAACTTTCTTTTGGGAGAAATCAATGAACTGAACACAAAATAATAAATTAACTAATTGTGATAATGGCACACATTACATTTCACATCGCGTGTCCCATCAAAAAGTCTGATTATGCTGCTATCAAATTCATGCAACGTATCAATCAGAGAGCAGAATAAATAACACAGACGAAAGCATCATCAAGTTGTGGGGAGTGGACTACAATCTCAAACTGATCAGCGCAAATTGGTCTAATGACACAATGAAATATTTGCCTATAAGAGCGCAAAAAGTATAAATATGCCTGCCACGTGGTCTCCAGAGTTACAGGAAGGCATCCTTCTCGAGCAACTTTAGAACGTCGTGCTGATTGTTCAGTTTCGCAACATCGATGGGCGTCTTGCCATCTAAGTTCTGAAGAGTGCTGCAGACACAAAAATCGAAAACCAAAAGAGACAAGAAAAGAAGACAAATAAATAAATATAAGATCGAAATTATAAGTTCAGAAGGTGTAGCATGAATATAGATGGTCGATTGACTTACACAGCAGCACCATGCTCCAGCAGAAGGGCCACACACTCCTTCCTGCCATAACCAGCTGCGTAATGTAGAGCAGTGTTTTTGTTCTTGTCCAATGCATCCACTTTAGCTCCAGCCTCAAGAAGAACTTGAGCACACTTCACCTGATATCAGAGGATGTCCAATAATCTCCATATGACAGAAACGAATAACCAAAACAAGATGCAGCTTTCAAACAAAACAAAGACTGTAAAAAAAAAAAAAAAAAAGCTACTGTTGTCATTTCCTCACATCGCTAGAGGCACCTTGAACTTTTTAAAAGGTCGAAAACTAAATAACACACTCACACGGACATACACACAAATAAGGAAAATTCTTTTGAATTCTTCATCAATGATATTGAAATAACAGCGAAACAGCAACAATAGAATTCCTTCATATTATTATATACATAAAGTTGGCACTACCTCGCCATATCCACATGCAAAATGCAATGCTGTTCTTCCCTCCGAATCTTCCTCATCCTTGTCAGCCCCAGAGGCTAGGGCGTTTTTCAGACCCTGAGAAAAAAACAAAAAAATAAAGAAACCCTTAAATATTTTAGCTTTGCTGCAGAAAATGAAAAGAAACAATAATAATAATAATAATAATAATAATAATAAATGTGCAAAAACTCATCAAACTTCATCGTAACCAAACTTCTCAAATGAGGCTAACTACTCTATGCTGAATACTCTTGCTATCCAAATAGAGGCTTTTTTGGGTAAACTGAAGGTTAAAAAGAATAATAAAAAGACAAAGAAAGAAAGAAAGAAAGAAGAGAAGAGGAGAGACAGAGAGCCACATATTAACTCAATGACACAGACATGGTACAAAACTAATTCAATGAAAGAAATCTTCGAATAAGAAGAATTTCTCCACAACTCTATCTTACACCACTCTTAAGTTTATAATTTATGGAGAAATTTCATCCAGAGCACTCACAATTTCCTGTTAATTGAACAGCTTCTTTCCAATAAAATAAACCAAACTTGATATACCTCCACGTCACCAACACTAGCAGTGTGATGAACAATTGATTCATCTTCATTTCCTGCACCTTCGGCATCTTCTGCTCCAGCATTGTCTGCGGAAGTAGCTGGATCTCCGGAAGCGGCAAGACCCATTGCTTCACCCAACTTCTTCAGAACATCTTGATCATTCCAGTACCTGATAAAGCAGAATTTTTCTCCTTTAGCAAAATGAAAATATACAGTTAAAGCAAAGCCCTGTATCCTAGTTCACAAGAATGACAACGTAACAAATAACCTCATCATAGCAGCAGGACCACCAGTCTCTATCTCTTCTAAGATAGGCTTTAATGATGGATCCTCCTTGATACGCGCCATTCGTTGCTCAAGCTGGTCTTTGTTTTCTGGGTTTGCAAAGCTCTCAAGCATGGTAGACATTGATGGATCCTGTGACAAAATTACTAACCATAAATGAGTTCTCAATAGTCAACGAAAATAGACAAAAAGCATTAAGACAAGTAGAAATAACTGGAGGAACATCAACTATACCTGCATCAATGCGTTACCAAGCTGCTCAGCCATGGTCATAAACTGGGGATTTTGCATAACCTGTTGCATGGTGGAATAATACTGCTGAGAATCAAACTGTGGAATGCCATCATCAACTGACGCGCCTTGAAAAGTTTTCTGAAGCTGCTCTGCCATCTGATTAAAAGAAGGATCTTTTGCTATCTGTTCAGCTAGCTCCTTGATGCTTGGATCCTAAAAATATGAGACATATACGATACTTGTGAGAAAAATAGGGGAGTTCCATTCAACTAATTTCGTTTCTCCATCTGTTAAACTAAACATGGAAAAGATTGAAGAAAACATAACATAACATAACATACATTAAGCAGGCCGGACATGGCGGAGAAATCGAAAGGATTGGGAGCAAAACCGCTTCCTGGCACAGAGCCAGGACCACTTTGTCCAGTCTCTGACTCCGCAGAGGATGTTTCAGATTTCTCGACTTTCTTCTCCGGCGAAGCCTGCTTTTCGTCTAAATAACATATGATACAATGATACATATGAGTATTCGAAGATCAATACATTTTATTATTAGAGAAAGCAGTAAGAAAATCACATTTCCATAACACAAACTATACGAATCCCTGAAAATAATCTTAAAACCAAATAATCCAGACATATGGCACTAGAAGTAACTGTAAACTCGCATAAGCTTCCCCAGTTTATTACTAAGCATGATTTCTGATTGGTGTTTATAAAGGGGTTATCAAAAATTATAGCGTGATGAAGCTCCAATGGCAAATTTCCATAGTTTTTTCAATCGTTCAATACTATAATCCCAGTTATTCAATCTTTTACAAATGCTTTTGCAAAATTCACTATTACCAGAGAAAGAAATCCAACAAAATTCCAACTATCCCTTCTCCATTTCAATCCCTAAACCCTGTACCAGTATCCCACCACCGAAAATTCCCGTACAGATTTTCAATCAGATTAATCAGATTCAAACTACCAAAATCCACACACATACAACTACGAAGCTAACAATTATAGAAATTCACAGATATACACATCCAAAACACCAAAATAATAATCAGCAAGGAAGCAGAGCTCACCAGCAGGCGAATCCTTCTGCGAATTCGACGCCATGAAAATCGCTGAATCAAGCAAGAAAAAGAAAATCTTAATATCAAATTCTCGAACTAAATTCACACTTCCAATTAAATCCGAAAGCGAAAACAAAGATCTAAACCGAGCCAAGCAATCCAAGGAAGAAAATGCAGGAGTTGAGAAATTCAAACCTGTTTTGATCGTAAAGAAATGGAAGAATTGAGTTTGGGACACGCAAAGAGAAAGGAATAAGCAGAGGCAAAAGAAAAGGAGAAGCCTTGCAGATAGAGAGATCCTCCTCACTGGGGGATTTTCAGAACCCTATGGAAGTAAAATAGTCCTTATGAAGACAGACACACACAAAACTTACCCTTTGGGATATAAATATTTACAAATATTTATTGGGTTTTTTTTTAAAAAAATAAATAAATAAATAAATAAATCTTCGAATTTCATTTTACCACCACCACCACCGATCGACTGTTTCCACGTGCACGGTACATCACATATGCCCAAAACACAAAGCTCTGTGTGGGCCATCTTAATCCTCATCTCCGCCAACGTTATGGCTCTGCATTCAGATGAAATGACTCTTTTGCCCTTTTGGCTACTTTTTTTGTTGTCAACACCGCTTTCCAATGATGATTTGCACTAAATTTCTTCAAACAATAATAAAAAAATGAGAATAATAAAAATAATATTTAACGGAGAACAATAATATTTCAAAGCTTGAATGTTTATTAGCATTGGATGTTTGTTTTTGGGCAAAAATGATAAGGCAATAATGAAAATTGACCTTCTTTTTCTATGTTAAAATATAATATCATTTGACGGTAAGGTAGGTCTCATCTTAATAATAAATATTTTCAACAGTAGATCTAATCAAAATCACATTAAAATTATAAAGTTTGGTATAAATCTTTTAAAATACAATAAAAATTGTTATTGTAGCTTAACCTCTTGAATGAGGGCAATTTTGACATTTTTCCGTATAAGACTAATTCACGTTCATTGCTGGCACAATATTCTAATGATCGGTCTTCTAAATGTGGCAGCCCGCAGCTAAGTATATTTTGTCAATAAGTTAGACATTCAATTATTGTTAATATTATTATTATTATTATTATTATTATTATTTATAAAGGTAGTGAATTCTGTGGCTGATGCTTTTCACTCTGGCCAAATTTATAAAAAAAAAAAAAAAAAAAAAAAAAAAAAAAACATATAGTTGGAAATAATACATAGAAATCTAAAAAATAATTACTTTTTCCATCGATCAAAATCCCAAAAGAAATAAAAACACATATAGCAAAATTAAAATAGTGAAGTTTAAATGTAGCAAATTTTTTAAATTATTACAATAATAACAAATTTTAATATCATTAAAATAATAATTATATTATTATATAGTAAAAATTTAAGATCGTTGTGATAATTACTATATTATTTTTACTATATTTATAATATTCTAAAAATTTTACTAAAGTTTTAACATCAAATATGTACGTGGACGTTTGGTTCACGAATTCAGAATCATTCTCAGTTTATGTGTATTTTTTATAATAAAAAAAATACTGTAACGAGTCACAAACTATTATTCAAATCATGGCACATGAATTCTCATACCAAACACCGTGGCTTAGTTTGGTAGTGCTGTGGATTTTGAAAAAATTGTTTTTAGCTGCGCTGAAGAAAAAAGCAGCTGTTAGAAGAAGCAGCTGAGTGTTTGGTAAACTGTAATTATACTAGCTGTGTTGATTTCAAAATCAGTGTAATAGCGTTTTTGAAGTTGAATTACTGTGGATATGTAAAATGATCAAAATAGACATGATATGAAACTTAAATATATATATAATTATTTTTGGTATTTAGAAAAACTTGTTAAACTTAAAAAAAAAAAAAAAAAAAAAAAAAACACAATGCTATGATTTTGAGTTTTCTAGTAATAAATTTATGATAATTAATTCTTTTTTATTTTTTCATTCACAATATAGTTACAATTAAAAGGAACATTAGTGAGTAATCAAAATATACAACAAAAATGTACATTCCATGTTCAAACTGTTTCACCAGATTGCATGGAATGTGTGAGTTTCCATTTGACTTTGCTACCAAACTTTTCTTTTTGTCCATCCAAACCAAAATTCAAGATTTCATATGCTTATCTTACACACAAAAATTGTCCAAATCAAAGTAACATGGTCCAAATAAAAACGAGGAGATGAGAGACAAGCAAAGACAAAACGAAATAAGAGACCAACTCCTTCACTTTGCAAGAGAAAATCTAGAATTATCCAAAAATACAATTGTAACAAATGAGGATCGACTCCAACAAATTCTGAATGTGTAAAATTTATGTGTAATTACAATAGAAAAACCCACCTTTTCTATGGGGAAATCAGGAAAAAATAAATGAAGCAAAATTGTCTGGCCCCAATGTTATAGGCCATCATCATCATGAGGAATTGGTCACTCAACACAAGTAATATGCAACATGAAGATGACGCCAAGCAATCTGAAAAATGTATTCTGGGGGTCGCAACTATCTCTAGGTATTTTTTTTCTTTTGGCTGACAAACTATCTCTAGTTATTCTCACCCCACTTAAGGGGCCACTACATCTTTGCCCAAATTTGACATGGTTATGGGGTAGCGGCCAAAATCTACAACAACTTGAATCGACGCATTCAACTCTGCTCGACAATCTACGACAAATTATCTCTAGTTATTCTCACCCCTCTTCTAGTACTTCGATTCCCCCAAGAATTCGAGCAAGTCAATCTGAAATCAGAAGCAATGCAGTAATTTTAACCATAACAACGATATTAAAGCTCATTAAAAAACATCATTAGTCTAGTTAGATTGTGATGTTTTACATTCAAAGCATAAGTCAAGGCTTAAACATGAGAAGCTGAAAATGAGTAAATTACCTCAATTCCTGACCAAAGAATAATACGAGATAAAGAGAAACAAACGGCACGTTTAGATAATGTCACTAACAAGTACAAATTCATTATGCGCATGTCTATTTTTCGTTCCATATGTAATCCACTTGATTATAATAAATTGACCAAACAGATTGTTAGATTGTAATAGACTATTTCAATACCTTATAGTAGAAAATCAAACTAACTAACGACCAAAATTGGAGCCAAATAAACTAAACTACAAAATCACACCATATTCTTAAACCTTACTATTTGTTTTTATTCTTACATTTCTTAATTCCTAATCTAGCGCAATTGCTGCTTCAATACCATAAATTTCAATCTCACCAAATCTAAAATCACGGTTGAGAATAGAAAATACAAGTGAATTTTTTCTCTTCAATACCAATTCAGCAATGGAAACGCAACAACATGATAATGAATTAATTTAAGCCTAACGACGAACGATTAGATTAAGAAATCAAACAAAACACCCGCAATTGGTGATCAATATGAGTTTTAGGATCGGTCATGTTATGGCCATGAGTGTTGAAGCTTAGAGAGGAGAAGAACGACACGAAGAAGGCTTCAGCCATTTTCGGATCCGAAACCTTAACGACCTCTCTCCCATCACCGTCGTACAAAAGCGAGCCCATCATCCAGCACTCGACGTTGTGCTGCCGCTTAAGGCCGGAGTTCTTTAGCCAGGGCGGCAACGTTTGGGCGGTGACCGGCGTCTGGCCGGAGCTCCAGCGGTTGAGCATGCCGACGTTGAAGCGGCAGAGGAGATCGTAGAGGAAGAGGAGAGGCGATGGTTGCAGAGACGAGGCATGCACCAGGCGGTGACTGTAGCAGGGGGAAGAAGTAGGACCGGAGATCGAACCCTTAGGAGCACAGAGGGAGACCGAGAGAATAGAGAGAGAAGAGAGAGAAACGGGGAGAGAGAGCACGAAGAGAAAGCATAGAGGGAGACGTGAGAGCTCGAGAGAGAAGATGAACAGGACCGTGCAGAGCAAAATTTTGTTGGGTCTGGAATTATTTTCATTCAGTAGGAGTAAAATCGATAATAACAAAAATTTCATTAAAGGAGTCTCTTAGATTGCCGCATAATCTAGAATTAAAAGCAGCCCAAAGACTGCTTCTAATTTTGGCTTCAAATTCTCTCTAAATTCTTTCAAAAGCACTTTTTTATATTTTTACTAAACCTAAAAAACAACTTTGACTGATTAGATAATCTATTTCTCCTAAACCGTGTCAAAACTTTACAATTCACAGCTCAATTAGTCCACGATTTAAGCCCGACCCATGGTTGGACGTTAGAATCTCCAATGTAGGCTTTCGTAAGCCTGGCCTGGGTCCATAATCTGCGTAGCTGGTGGGACCAGGCCGGTGGCCTTTCGGTATTTACCCTTGTTTTTAACGGAGAGACAAAAAATAAATTAAAATTAAAAAAAATAAAAAGGCAAGAAAAACAGTATTGCAGTAATTAAGCAAAATCAAGGACAGACAGAGAAGTCAGAGAGGAGACGTGTGAGCTCTGGGGAGGGAACGAATTTCCCAAAAACCAAAAAAAAAAAAAAAAAAAAAAGTTGGGAAATAAAAACCCGCCGATCTGATTGGCTCACAGAAAAACCGTTCCGAGTAATTATGGGATCGGTGAGCTTACTCTGATAATCGTCGGAGAGGATGTCCCAAGCTGACGTCTCTTACAGGTAAAAACAAATAAAATAATAATAATAATAACAATAATAACTTAATTAATATCGTTTATCTCTCACTTTGATTCCTCTGATTGTGATTTTTCTTGAAGCTTTGTAGTAACATTTTTGTGGGTTTTGCTGTAAATTGGATTAATTTGGGTAAATCAGTGAATTTGGGTTCAACTTCAATAGCTGGCATAGATTTGTCCTTTTTTCTGGTTGTTCTCTGTCACAAGTTGCTCATTGTGTACTCTGTTTTGTTGTTAAAACAAACAAATGAAAAAATAATTAAGCTTCATAAAAAAAAAAGCGTTTTAATTTTTTAGGGCTAGAAATAGTTTTTAAGGGTTAGTGGATTGGTCTTTGTTATCATGTTAGTAAATTTTTGTCGTTGGATTTAAAACAAAGCAAAGCTAAGGCCTTTATGGTAGTTGATTAAGGGAAACACATTTTGTTTTGTTAATTATGGGATTTCCCTTTTTTTGTTTTTTGTTTTTTTTGTTTTTTTGGGAATAATCAGAGGTTGAAATTAGTTTAAAAAAAAAAAAAAAGAAATGCCATGGAATAACTGACTCTGTATTTTGTAGTTTATAAAGAGGGCTGAGGATCGAATCTCATCAGAAACCTACAATTTTTTAGTGTGAAAACTTCGCCATCCGGGTGAGCCAGTGGTTTAAGTTTTCATTCCGTTTATCCACTTGGGATTCTTTCTTTGTTTTTTCAAAGATTGAATTTCAGCTGATATTTAAGAATTACCATGTCTGGTCATGTGAAAATTTTGATAGACATGATGAATGCTTAGTGTTGATACAGATTATGTGCTTATTAGATGCGTTTTATATCAGTTATGACCGAAAAATAACGAATACGTGGTACATGATGGAAGTTAATTGCTTGGCACTTCTTTTTTATGATATTTGTTTTGGTTGCTTGAATTTGTTGAATGCATAGTTGATAATTTTCTTCATTCTCTTTACACCCTCTTTTTCTCCTTTTTGGCTTTCCTTGTTTTCAGCTGCGGGTCTTGCGGATACCCTCTGAATTTAACGTCTTCCAATCGAATCACCTCTGGGATAGACTCTGAATATCGAAAATCCATAAAGAAAGGCCTAATCTCCTTCATTTCGGTTGATCTCAGTCGATTCACCCAAGTTGATGAGGTGAACTGTTTTCCTCTGTCCTGGGGTCGTTACCGTTTGAAAACAAAACTCCTGTGCCGGAAATGTGGGGTTCATATCGGCTATGGATATGGAGACTCACCTGCCCTTTGCGGGTTTGACTCTGCCAATTCATCAGGTGTGGGTTACAAAAAGTTCACAGTTAAGATTCGAGCTCTTCAGCCTTCAGAAGAGTGTCAAGAAGGTTGATTACAATGGAAGATCCTTCTTGTAGTGGTCTAACCTCGATCATGCACCTGCCTGATGATTGTCTGTTCTTCATATTCCAATGGCTAGATTGTACCACGGATCGCGAGTCATTTGGCTTGACTTGCCGCCGGTGGCTTCAAATTCAGAACCTTAGCCGCCGTTCCTTACAGTTTGCATGTTCGTTCACCCATTTGAGCCTTTCTTCATTAGCTCATCCCAATTTTAACGTTAGCCCCTTCCAACTCCATAGGCTGCTCACCCGCTTTCAGCATTTACAATCTCTGTCTCTATCCGGTTGCTTATACCTTCCCAATTCAGGCTTGACACCACTGCAGCATTATGGTTCAAACTTGCAAGCTATTCATTTTGATTGTTGTTTTAGCATCACCGATCATGGAGTTTCCCTGGCTGCTGCTGCTTGCCCATTGCTGGTGGTAGTTAGTCTGTATCGATGCCATGTTACTGATGTTGGGTTAGAAAGTTTGGCCAATGCTTGCTCAGGTCTAAAACAATTGAACCTTTCACACTGCTCAAAGATTTCCGACTTTGGATTAGGGGCTCTTTCACGAGGATGCCGTCAACTCCAAGCTGTTAGAATATCTTTCTGCAGCGGCTTAACTGGCATTGGCTTTAGAGGATGTTCATCTACTTTAGCTTATGTAGAAGCTGAAAGTTGTAGTCTTGAGCCAGATGGGATAGAGGCAATAGTGAGTGGAGGCGGGATAGAGTATCTAGACGTTTCTTGTATAAATAAAATTATTTTTCCCGTAAAGGGGCCTCATATCGAAGATGTCTTTGCAGCAATTGGAGGAGGGTTTGCCTCGAGCCTTAGAATCCTAAACTTCCGAATGTGCAGAACTGTCCGTGACGCATCTATTTTGGCAATTGCAAAGGGGTGTCCACAACTTCAAGAGTGGAATTTAGCATTATGTCACGAGGTAAAGATATCTGGATGGATGTCTATTGGGACGTACTGCAACAAGCTGGAGAAACTCCATGTGAACCGATGCCGGAACTTATGCGATCAGGGGTTGCTGGCTTTGCGGAATGGGTGCCGACAGCTCTCTGTTTTGTACATGAACGGGTGTGTTAGGCTCACTTCTACAGCAATAGAGTTATTCAAATTTTACAGAGGCGATGTTAATATCAAGGAAGAAGAAGTTGTGTGTATAGCGCCAAGCTGGGCGTTTAGATGATTAGAAATCAGTAATATTTATCTGACTGGGGTCAGATGAGAAGAGATGGATCTTCTGAAGATTGAACTTTTCTCGACTTGTGTGTTTTCCTCCCTGAGGAAGTTCTTTTTTCTTCTGTTTTATTGTTGAAAACTTGGGATTTACTTATACTATTTCTGGACAGATTCGTTATATTATAAACTAACGAATTGCATACAGAATTTGTTTAAAATTCATCTATATTCTATTATTTCTTATTGCCAGACAGATTGATTATATAAATATTGCCGTGGTACTCTCTCGTGCCTCACATATTTTTTACTGACTGTATCATAGAATAAAAACCAAAGGATTTCAGGTTTGACACCAGACTGTAACTTAAAAAATCTTGATACACAAAAATTAGTGCATACATATCAGACTGATATTGAGCTTCTAGAAACAATCAAAATAAGGTACCATTTCTTTTGGAAAAAAAAATCCAATTATAGAAACCAAATTTAACACATACCACACAGAAATGTAGTAAAGTAGTAAAGAAGAAAAAATGACCTTAGTTTCTAACCCACATTCTATACTCTAAAACAGCAGAAGTAACAAACAAGATGCAGAGAACAACAGCATAACCAGCAGTCCATCCCGTCCCGCCATCACCCAAATGGATTCCATAGAAAACATTTGCTATTGCAAAAACAAGTAGAGTCCTCCCCACGCCGTAATGGTACCAATTCCAGTACTTCCGAATTTTAGACGTTGTATTTGGCCGCGCCAAAAGAGCCATCGCCTGTAAAACAAACGGACGTCGGTGAAAGCTATTTAACTTTTTGAAGTTTGTAGACTGGTGGAGTTTCTTCCAAGACAAAATCTTTTGTTACCTGGAGGCAGCCGAGCACAAGAATGAAGATGCCGAGACCTTTGTGGGTAGAGACATCAGCGTCGATACGATTTTCCAAGAGAAATCCGCACAAGACTCCGATTACTCCGAGCAAAAACCCGAATGACTGAATGCCCATATGAACGTAGAACCAAAGAGGATCCCACTGCCTGCAGTAACGAGCAACTATCGATCCAATTACCATTAGGATTCCCCATCCTAGCGTGTTCAGTAATCCATGGCTTTTCCTAAGTCTTTCATGTGGTTTTTTCTGTGATGCGCTTTGACCTGTTCCATAAATACAGTAAACAAAAGTTGTTTGAACTCATCAAGCTAAAATGCGTGTAGATGGATTTTTAAATGATAAATAAATCTTAATTCTAAAAGTGTTCCCAACATCAATTTCGTTATCTATTCTGATTCCTAACTCGGTCACCCCATTTGATTAATAATAATGAGGTCCATTATTGTTGATTATGATAAAAACCACCATTGACATTCACGCAATTGCTTCCGACTAAACATCAATATTGTTGTTTATATGTTGATAGCTAGCGTTAAAACTCCCCTTCAAGTAACTTTTTCTTTGAAGACAAAAGGTGTGACTGTGAGACCATCAAGATGTCAAAATTTCCTCATTATTAAAATAAATAAACCTTATAATTCAGTAAGAGCTTTTCACGATAAGGTATTCTTACTGAAAACATACAAAAGTATATATACACTATACAGGTATTTTTCAGTATTATCAATATATTATTATTATTATTATTATTATTATTATTATTATTTTGAAGCCACCAAACGCAAAGGCACTGCATCAGCCTAGCGCTAGCGGAAGGTAAAATGGCGCTGTCATGCACCACAAAAAAAAAAAACAAAAAAAAAAAAGAAGAAAAAGTCTAGTTAAGGTGGCATAAAGTATTCAAAAAACCTTTCTCACCATGTTCATTGCACGTTGAATATTTAAAACAGAAAAAGAAGTAGAAAGCAAAAGAAAGTTGATATAGTTCTTACCGGTAAAATAATTTATAGAGGTGGAGACCTTGTTCCGGTGCTCCACCAACCGGTATTCGGGCGCCACCGGCAGAAACCCGCTGGGTCCCACCGAGTACAAAAGCCTCGTCGCCGGCTGGCTCGTCTCCAACTGGAACGCCAAGTACTGACGGTTTGACTGAGACACTATCGAAGGCGAGTTTTGGACGAATATTAAGTTCCCTTGGTCGGGCTCCACGCGGTTCGACGATGTTCCGCCGAGGTAATACTGTTTGATAACTCCGGCGCCGTCGGAGATCCATCCGACGACCGCGCTCGACCCCACCATTCCACCGTCGCTCGAGAACCCTATTGCCACGTACGAGTTCACGTCTCCAGGTGCAGAGAGGACGAAGCTCCATACGCTGGCATTCGTCGTCTGCGCGTACTGCAGAATTTTTAACCAATCACAAATTCACGTCAAATCTTATTATAACCAAATATTATAACAGACGAGACGAAAAAAGCATTTTTACTATTGACAAGTGTTTGTCTTTATAGGTTATAGTACTACTTACTCTAAGGATGAAAACTTGAGCGTCCCAAACTGCGAGGCAGTGAAGGGATGTTGTGTCGAAGGAGACAAGACCGTTGAGGTTCAGATTGGAGCTGCACGAGTCTGTTTGTGAAGTCACTAGAGCTGAAAGAGCAAGGCTTGAGATGGTCATGAAGATGATGAAACTGGTCTTCATCTCTCTCTCTCTCTCTCTTTCTCTCTCTCTCTTCTGGTCTAAAACAGGGAAAGTAGTGGGGCGATTCTTCCTTGGATGGTTTGAAACAGGACAAGTAGTGGGTGATCATTCCCGCATAGCTTATCTGGAATAAGTTGACAATAATTTTCGTTTTTATAATTTAATTCGTAAAAGTAATGCATCCATTCATTTTAATAAGAAAAAATGAATCTTATGCATTGACGAAAAGGATGTAGTCATATAACACAACAGATGACGCATGTGACTGTGAGGGAAGATTAGGTGAGAACCTATAGCTTTTCTCCAAAGTATTCGTTTGTGACGTGGTAAAAGAAAGGGGTTCAAAACTCATGGTATATGCCTCAGTGTAGCAATTACGCCAAGGAAAAACAAAAGGTTAAAAGAATTGCATATGTTTAATATGTATATATATGTACACACATACACGCACACATTTAATCAGCACCAAGCATGACATTCTTTAAAATAATGATTATACAAATTGTTGGAGAAAAAGAGAGAGAAGAAATGAAAAGAGAGAGAGAGACAAAAAAGAAAATAACAGAGGCAAGAAAAAAAAAGTGAAAAAGAAAACAATGCGAAACGTTTCGCACATTTATACAACTAATTTCGGCTTTAATTATGCAAATCATTTCACAAATTTATATAATAATTAAAACACATTCCGCTTTATTTGTGTATGATATATGATATAAATACGGATATACATACATGTATGTACATAGTTAATTGGAAAGGAATAGAAATGGCAAACCATGATTTGTAATTGTACCAAACAAGACATAAAATTGGTCCGCCTATACAGATGAGAATTGAGCACAAAAGTTTATGTTTGGTCTAACAGGTCATGATTTGAAGCAAAGCCAACGCAAACTAAGCGAGTGCCATGCGTCTAATGAAACCTGCTTTGCGTAGACCTACCGTTTGTCTTTTTTTTTTTTTTTTTTCATTTTCATATGTTTTTTTTTTTACTTCAAGATTTCTATAGAGAGACCATAACATAATGATCATTAGCTAGAGATGTGAGATGAGAGCCTCTTTATTGGGAAGAATCTTTGGAACAAGTGCACCAAAATGCCGATTGATTAAAGCCAAGCGATAGTGGAGATGATAAAAGTAAAAAGTTCCATATGCCATCTGTAATTATCATGCTAATTTTCGAGTCATCTCTTGCTATTGAGTGGTGAGTGCTTGTGCATCCATTTTCCCTTGAAATTTTTAATCTCACCAATTACAGATAAAACTCTGCAGTCAATTATTCTAAGATTGTCATCAGAACTTACCTGTTCCACTGAAAACTACTTTCACGGCTGCGGAGGAAAAAAAAAAAAAAAAAAAAAAAAAAAAAAAAAAATGCATTACCTTCTCGATAATGAGACAAAAATAGGAAGGGAAAAGTAGTGTCTTAGCAGATGACTGGGGAAATTTTCACTTTGTTTTCGTACTAGAGAGAGAGAGAGGAAACTAATGGAACATTATTGTACAACAATTTACAACTTCCACGATGTCTGAATTTATGAAACGTTTTGGAATAAAAGTACATTGCGGAGGTTCTTAATTCGACTTATAATCACGTGGATTGTAAACAAGTTTTGAGCTTTTCCTATTTACATGCTACCAAATTCTTCAATAGCTTCTTCTGCGGTAACCCATGGAACTGTAGTTTCAAGCCGGTCAACCCCTGAATATACAAAATGAAATAGAGGGTAATTAAATTCAACTAGGCAGTGATCGTAATAGATTTTACGAAACACATATATGATGATTTACTCATTCACTTTCGCACTTCCGTCTGTAACAAGGCCTCAATTCAATTTAGTATTCCCCAAAAAAAGTGCTTATAAGCACCGGTGCTAAGCACCGTCAATAATAAAAGGTGGGCCCCACCTATAGACACCTATGAGCCCCATGTTATGAGACCCACACGTTACTAGTGGTGGTGCAGCCTTGCCGGTGCCAAATAGTATTGTTCTAACTAAAATTTCACTTTGAAACACCAAAAAATTCTCTTGTATTGAGTTGGAAGATAAGATATTAGTCAAATATCACATGAACGCGTCACAGGGAACATATCTCATCTACACTAAAAAGGACCAAAATATAAGAGTCAAAAACCGCAAACACACTTGGAACTGGAATAACTTCTTTACAAGCAAACATATCTCGTGATATGGGCACATAATGAACGCATACAAATAAATTAAAAACAAAAGATTTAAGAAATAAATAACTAGAAGTTGCTTTATGAGTGAATCTACATTCAGGTAACAACAGCATAAAGGAACTTACCGGACGAAACATATGTTGGTAAGCTGACATAATTAGGACATGAACTTGAAGAACCCCTACCCTTTTGACTGGTTGATTTGATCAGACAGTCCCGAGGCTACAGAAATATTCAAACATTCAGAATACGCAAGGGAAACTTTCATATATGGGAAACAAGAGCACATGACTACACCATGAACCAAACTGGACCAAGGGTTTTCACTGAAAATCCCCTAAATGAAGACATTGAGCATGCACGGATGGAACTCAATGAGTATTTCCATTATTGAATTTGACGCTGCAAATACCCAAGACATAATACATTGATAATTTAAGGAGCAACCACGAACATCAGTCTGGCTTTTTGGCATCTACAAGCAATTACTGATATTGATTCTTAATTGGCTTATCTTTTATTATAACCTTTGGGTAGAACTCATCCCCAAAAGTTAGCTTGTAGGGAGATGGTGCCCAAGTGGTTATAAACCCACATGCTAAGCCCATACTTTAGCAATGTGGGACTCAACTAGGATCCTAATATACCACCACGCTTCCGACACCGACGTCCACGGCGGCCCACTCTGGCCTTTCCAGGTCGCCCCTCTCCAGGTCGTTCCTTCCGCAACGTGGGCCTGAGGTGGGGCGTGCTCTGATACCAATTGTTATAACACTTGGGTAGAACTCATCCCCAAAAGCTAACTTGTAGGGAGAGGGTGCCCAAGTGGTTATAAACCCACATGCTAAGCCCATATTTTAGCAATGTGGGCTCAACTAGGATCCTAACATACCACCACGCTTCCGATACCGAAGTCCACGGTGGCCCACTTTGGATGGCCCACTTTGGCCTTTCCAGGTCGCCCCTTCCGCAACGTGGGCCTGAGGTGGGACGTGCTCTGATACCAATTGTTATAACCCTTGGGTAGAACTCATCCCCAAAAGCTAGCTTGTAGGGAGATGGTGCTCAAGTGGTCATAAACTCACATGCTAAGCCCATACTTTAGCAATGTGGGACTTAATCAGGATCCTAACATACCACCACGCTTCCGACATCGACGTCCACGACGGCCCACGTCGGTGTCAGAAGCGTGGTGGTATGTTAGGATCCTAGTTGAGTCCCACATTGCTAAAATATGGGCTTAGCATGTGAGTTTATAACCACTTGGGCACCCTCTCCCTACAAGCTAGCTTTTGGGGATGAGTTCTACCCAATGGTTGTAACAATTGGTATTAGAGCACGCCCCACCTTAGGCCCACGTTGCGGAAGGGGCTACCTAGGGAGGGGCGACCTGGAAAGGCCAGAGTGGGCCATCCAGAGTGGGCCGCCGTGGACGTCGGTATCGGAAGCGTGGTGGTATGTTAGGATCCTGGTTGAGTCCCACATTTCTAAAGTATGGGCTTAGCATGTGGGTTTATAACCACTTGGACACCCTCTCCCTACAAGCTAGCTTTTGGGGATGAGTTCTACCCAAGGGTTATAACATCTTTGTCCACAATTGATCTGGAATGAATCACATATAGGAGTTACCTTAAAATCCTTGTAGAAGCAAAGCTGGAGTTCCTCTATAGCTCCATTCTTGCAAGCCAACGACGGGGTTGCGTGAAAAGCATTCTGAATGGCAGAAACAATGCCTCCAAGAGGATATTTTTCAGTGTTTGACGGTACATATCCTTCCTCACTAAGGACTTTCTGGGCAGTGTTAAACAAATACATAAATGATATGCATAAACTAAATATACGCGAATAAAGAAATTAAACAGCTTTACGTGAATAAACAATTAAATTTTTAAACAAACTTATATGGATGACCAGGAAAAAAAAAAAAGCAAAAACTAATGTTTTTTATAATACAACAATAGAAGATCTCAGAATGTAGACTGGTCAACATTTAAGTGGTGAACTAGACAGCCATTATTCATGGATGAGTTGGAAACAAAAAATATTGTACCTCAACGAGTTAAAAGCATAGTTTGGAACTAACTAAAGGTAAACTAATAACTTGCTGCAAAAAAAGTTCTGTAACTGAAGAGTGAAGGGATTGGATCGACCTAAAGATTCAAATAAACAAATCTTTGAATGAAGAGTGAAGGGATTGATTGACATAAAGATTCGATTTCTTGAAGACTTACTGTGACATTGTATTTGAGATAAACATTAAGGGCCGTTACAAAGTAACTGTATTCATCATGAACAACTGGAGATGAGCAAGTCCCATGCTTTTCTGCACATAACAATGCAAAAATAAGAAAAAAAAAAAAGCAATATTTTAGACAACCACGGTAAAGAATCAGAATTCAGAAAAGACACGGCACCTCAGCAACCTACAATAAGTCCAAGTATTCTATAGAGAAAAAAAAAAAAAAAACATCCGCATAATATTACATCATTAAGTTGAGAAAAAAGATGGAGACAATTACCCCACTGCCAATGTAATAGCATCCAGTTCAGCCATTATAGAAAGATAAGAAGAACAAACGTAAGTTCTGTGAAAGGACACTAAAAATTAGGCCAAATATAAGTTAACAAAAAATAGCCACCTCATGAGCCCAAAATGATCCTTTACTACCATGGCAGGCTCTTGGCTTTCCACAACTTAAAGATGGCCAATACTTCTCTAGAGCATCAAGCAATGTTGAGATCTACAAAATCAACATCAGAACACTGGTATTGAAAGAGAGTTACGCTTCTCTGCAGAAAGCACATTTTATTCAAGGTAGGGGAAGTGCCTTTAGGGAGCATTGCACGGCATGTGTTGATACGAGAACTTTCTATACGGTTAATCAATTACCTTTGCTCTTTAAAGATATTGTTTTTTAGTCCTATCCAGGAGCTATTTTCTCATATAATGGCCCCAAAAGAACAGTAATGCAAATTGCGAGCACATACCTCTTTCTCATTAAAACTCTCCCGCGTGCAGCAGGCTGGCCATGTTCCGTCATTGTAGTCAGGCCACAACCCATCTGTCATACAAGTTAAAGAAAAACAGATTATGCGCCATACCGTATTTGGAGATTATATATCATAAGGTCAAGTTACCATTACAAATAAATATATATACATATACATATATAGCGGAAACACGATCATGAGTCACTGATGAATTTTGAAAAAAAATTTCCCTGACATGAATCCACACATCGGGATGTTTTTCTGTTAATAACAAGCTTGGTGTTTTGACATGTAATTATGTACTTTCTGGGACCAATCTAAAAAGGCTCTTCAAAAGAATAAGGTGACGTTTAATTTATAGGATCAAAACCATAATTTATGATTCTGATTTTTAAAATTTAAATTTTTTATGAGAGAAAAACATTATAGCGGAATCAAGAACTATGAGCCTAAACCAAGGCAGAATCCTTAAAACAAACATCTCTAAAGTATTTATCAAGAAAAAGTTTAGTGTGTTGTACGTTCCTTTTTCTCAAACAAATTTTCTCCTGTTTCAGATTTCTTAAAAGACAAAAATAAATAAACAAATAAATAAAAAGGCACAGGCAACCATATACTTACGGATTGTAAACTCACTTGGAGCATTTGCTCTGAAAAAGAGGGAAACAAAAATGAATAAACATATGATAAAATCACGTTTTCAGAAAGAAAAAAAATTAAATTATCACAACTTTATGCCTCCAAGTCCATCAAAAATTTCATAACCTCTTCATTAACAAAATCGATAGTTTTCAACTTGAATTCAATCCATTTCATCTAAAATAAGCTGGATAACAATTAACATCAAACAAACGGATGAATTCAATCCGTTTCGTCTAAAGTAATATTTCAATTAGAAGAAAGAGAGAGAGGGAAAGAATTTAGAACCCTCGACAGCAAGCATTGGAAGAACAGCAATCGCGGGTGTGGCGACAGTAGGTGGGAGGCCATTGGAGCGCCAAAGCGAAGTAATCGAACTCTCTCTGGCCTTTCACTTCCATGATTCCTATTCGATCTCCGATTCCGTTTGCCTTAATAATACCACAAGAAGCCACTGCTAAGATCGTTAAGCAAGCCAGTTTGACGGAGAGAAGACGAAAAGCCATGGGAGACAAGAGATAACTGATAAGATGATGGTTATGGCACTTCCGACTTCCCTCGTAACCTCCGATCTTCTCTTTGGTATGCTCGAGACACGATTTACGCCTTATATACTTCTTTACAAAATATATATAAAAATAAATGTATATGTTTTTTTTATTTTAATTTTGATTTTATTTTATTTTATATATATAATAAATGTATATGTTTTTTAATTTTAATTTTGATTTATTATTATTATTATTTTTTTTTTTTTGGAAGGAGATCAGAATGCTATATGCGCCGGAGAACGAGAACCGGAATATACTTTCGTGTTTTACGCATAATTATCGCTTAAAAAAGATTTGGTCAGATTTCTCAAAGAGGAAATGGATTTTCGGCGGCCTAAATCAATAATAAATATAATAATGGCTTTCTTTTTTTGGTATTAGGTAGAAACGAAAAAAGATTCTCAAAATAAATTAAGAAAAAAACTAAACTGGAAAAAAGAATAATAATGATAAGTTTGATGGGGCAGTGGCGAATATTCTTTACGTTGGAAGAGCATGTTTGACCACTTTTAGAATCTTTTTTCGTTTACGACATGTCATTTCAATACATCAAATTTATACGACATTGTTTTCTCCACTTACAAATAAAAATGATAGGTCGTTTCTCCTGTAGGAGTTTTGCTGTCATTCGGGGGGACAGAAACCGACAAGGACGAATGGAGTTGCGGTGAATAATCATTTTTTCCCGGCGAGTAAGAAGAGTAATGTAACGCTTGATAAATCGGTTGCGGATATTCTTTTGGTTGAAAACAGCGTTCGTCGTTTGGCTTCAACATGTCGTTTTTCCTTTAAGAGTTTATTTTTATTCAAGAAAAATGAAATGTCGTTCATGCTGTAAGTTGCAATCGTCTGTCGATTTCTTTTCAACCATATGTCCCTCACCAAACATGCTGTCGTTTAAGCTGGAAAATAGACACTGTTTGTCTCTCAAAGATTTTTGCCATTGTTTTTTCATTTTTTTTTTAATTTTTTGCTGAAATTCTGCCATCGTTTAAGCTGGAAAAGATGTACCGTTTGCTGTCTATACGCTTTTTGTTGTCGTTTTGGTAGAAACGGCATATTGTTTGTGAGTCAAATAAACGATATGTTGTTTTGCTTCTATACCAAATTTATTGCTTTGTTTTTAACCTTTTATTTTCACAAATGACGTGTCGTTTATTCTCAGGTATTTATGCGTTTTTTATAGTAAGAACAATATGCTCGTATTTCCGACTTCTTTGTCGTTTATATGAAAGCAAGTTTATAAAAATAATTATGGTATGTTCTTTTAGAGTTTTAGAGTGTGACTTGAGTGTAATTTTTTAATTGAATTTGAGTTGAAGTTGTAACTTGAGTTTGTATTTGATTGTGTACATTTGAGTTATGGTTTGAGATAAGAATCTTTTTTTGAGTTTGTATTTGAGTGAGTCAAAACTTAAATTTGTATTTAGATAGTATTTTAATAAAAACTCAATGGTGATAAAAAATTTTAATAGGGTATATGAGTTGTGTTTTATTTGTCTTTTCGTTGTCAACGCATAGAAAAAAGTTATAGAATTTTTAAGAATAGAAAAAATATTGTTCATTAATTTGAGTTCGAGTTTATGAACTCGAGTTGAAATGGACATTTGAACTCGAGTTTTAGTCCCAAACTCGAGTTCAAACTCAAGTTCAAACTTAAAAGAACATGAACTTGAATAAAGTTGAAACTCGAGTTGCATTTTTTTGAGTTTTTTAGACAGTCGAACACACCCTTAGTAACTAAAATATTACAAAAATACTTAGATTAAATGTGAAATTTTCAAATCAATAACAAACATGATGAAAGATTGGCAAGAGGGCACCGTCCGAGATTGTGTCCCCTGTCACGGCGATCCATCCTAGAGGGAGATCTCGCCACTGTGGCCACCAAACGACGATATCTTGCCTAACGTCTCTTGCATGACCACATCGAACCACGAAAACTTAGCGAAGATTTGACAACATTTTAGATAAGGAAGGTTTAAATCTCCGCCGATATATTGTAGCAAGGGGATGACAATGGGTTGGTACTGTTTTGAAGGAATTGAGATCTATAGGACATTTGGTTGAAGGATTCGTCTCTTTTTCTGAATCATAATTCTTAATTTTTTACAATATTTTTCTCTCATAAAAAATTAAATTTTAAAAATCAGACTTATAAATTATAGTTATGAACCTGTGCACCAGACGTCCCAGACGTCCCACTAGTGGTAGGAGTATGGCAGCGAGGCAAGAGATCTCAACGCACGAGTAGGGCAAGACATCTCCCCTCCCCGTTGAGATCTATGGTAGCGACAAGAAAAGAGAGAAATTAACGAGAGGAATAAATATGTAGGATTACATTGAAAACTCTAAAGAATTAAATGTTTTCATTATTAAAATAATTTTTTTTTCTTTTTTACATATTATCTCACGTATATAATATGCATTGGCATACTAGCTCACAAGTGGCATTCCTCTAGCTCATATGGCTCTTACACCATATTATGATTCTAACTTCATCAGGCATCTTAGGACATTGCATTGTTACCGAAATGTGATAATCCATGTACGTATTATAATATATATATATATATATATTTTTTTTCGATCGAATAATATTTAACCTAACATTAATTAATTTTTACCCATATTCTATTTCAACTCTAAGCGAACAAGTATTTTTTGTTGGAGTTTAATCCGCAGACAAAAAATATATATTACGAATTCAGGCTTTTAGTTGGCATTTAATTACAAGGATAAAATCATTTTTTTTAAAGAATACTGCTTTTTTTTTTTTAAGAATACCACCTCAAATAAGACTCATGTTATTAAAGAACAAAAATTAAAAGATAAAGCTACAACCATTACAAAATCAAGTAAATTTATAAAATAATAAATATATAATTTCTATATACATAGTACTCTAAAAAATTAGGACAATAAAACCGTAACAAAAGCAGTATGATTTATTGCTCAGCTTTACAATGTACAAGGTTACATTTATATAGAATCTAAATGAAAGGGAAAAGACAGGGCTAGTTGTACAAGGACAAGAATGCTAGTTGTACAAGGACAAGTGTAACCTATATATTTGAGGGCCTAAGAATGTTGCTGACAGTTATAATACACTAATGATTATTGTTATGATTTTATTAGTTGGCATATTTTGAAATTAGGTTGTACAAAATTTAAAAACAATGTTAAGTTTATGATTGATACAATCAGATTTTGTGACAATTTTATTCTACTAATTGCTTCGAATTTAGAAAGTTTTTGGAAATAGAAAGTAGAATTGGGCAAGTTTATTTCAGAGTCATTTGTGAAGATATTTGTAAAGATTTGAGGAGATATGATTGTTGCACAAAATCATGGAACTTTGATTTGAGATTGAAAGATTGATCCGCTTATGGAATAATATATAATGCCAAGAGGTGGATGTTACGTAAATCAAGTGAAAATTCGGATTGAATTAAACGAGTTGTTTAAAATTAATATTATGGTTTGATTGAGATCAAATCGGTTTTGGGTGTGGGATTTGAGATTATGGTGAGCACATGCACGTGAAGGAGTTGAGATAATGTGGAGATTATTTTGGAGAGTACTCTTGCTATATATTCGTTTGTGTGTGTACGTGAAGGTGTGGCTTGGAAGAGAAAAAGTTGACTTGTGTCTTTTATGGTTTTAAAAGCAATTCAAGGCCATATTATGTGGCATGGTTTTTAGAGATATATTTTTCAGAAAAAGTATGTGAGAGTGAGCTTTGAATGAAATATTTTACAACAAAAAGCTGTTTTGATGTTTTTTAAGAGAAAATAGAAAAATGTGGTTCTTTAGGAGGATGACGTATTGCTTTCAGGAGAAAGCCTTCAAAGACAAGTGGTGCTCGCTGGATAAGGCCTCTAAGAAGATTCTACACAGCGGTGACAACATAAAGGAAGGAGTCTTTGTGTATAAGTCTAATTGGTGTTTGTAATCCTTTGAGCTTAGTGGATTGTTCACTGTTTAGGCGTGGCCCCGCAGATGTAGGTGTGCGCATCGAACTGTGATATCAATTTTTTGTGTCTTTTATATTTATGTTAATTTTTCTGCATTTATAATTTGTTGCTGCTGAATTAAAGAAAAAATATATCTATCTACATGTATCTGTCATCAGTGTTACAACACTGTGACACCCGGTTAAAAAACAGACATTTCAATGACAATGGATAAGATCCTATAACGAAAATATTCTTAGCGGCTGGAGAATTGCCAGATGAGCCAAAAGGACAAAAGGCTCTTAGCTTGGGCACCACTGAAATGAAACGCAAGGCATGAGTGTCGTTTTGGTCTCATCTTCTAACATTCTCTCCCAATTCGACAGCCTGTGAAGATGTGATCCCCAACTTGCTTCTCAAGTAACTGAAGAATCTTGCTGATAGAGCTTTTGCGAGAATGTATGCTTTTTTCTCTATTGCTGGAACATGATGTACAACAATTGTTTTGTTTAAAACTTTGTCTCGAAGGAAGTATAAGTCAAACTCGATATGCTTAGTTTTGGAATGTAACACAGGATTGGCTGATAGTGAGACTGTGCTCAAATTGTCTACCTAGATAATCGGAGATATGTTCGAGTGAATCTGTAATTCCTTTAGAAGTGACATTAACCACAGGACTTCTAATGTAGCACTTGCCAAGCTTCTATATTCTGCTTCTGTGCTTGACCTGGAAATTGTGGTTTGCTTCTTTGAACACCAAGTTATCAGATTGTTTCCCAAATAAACGCAAAAACCAAATGTTGATCGTCGATCATCTGGACCCGTGGCCCAATCGGAGTCAGAGTAACTTGTGAGATTAAGCTGATTTGACCTTGAAAGCTTCAGCCCATATGTGATTGTTCCTTTAAGATAGCGCAATATTCGTTTTACTGCCTTCCAGTGCAAGTTTAATGGAGATTGCATAAACTGACTGACTCTGCTTACAGAGTATGCAGTGTCTGGTCTGGTAATTGTTGCATGCTGTGTAGACCTTTAACTGTGCTTCTATGTAGTTTACCATCATCAAATGGATCTCCTTCATGAGCAGTAAGCCTCTGGCCCGTGATCATTGGAGTAGGAAGAGAATTGGCATTTTCCATTTGAACCGTCTTCAATATATCTGAAATGTATTTCATCTGAGTTAGAAGAAGACCATCTACAGTTTTTGTTACTTCAATTCCCAGAATGTAGTCTAGTTCACCCAAATACTTTAGAGAGAATGCCTTGTTGGGCAGTTGAATTAGTTTTTGAACTTCACTTTCACTGCTTCCAGTGATAATTATATCGTCCACATATACTAGAATGTAGAGACTAGACTTAGGAGTGATTTTGAGAAAAAGATACTTATCAACCGTTGAAGACGGAAAACCGAGCTTGCAGAGAGTCCCATTTAATCTATCAAACCACACACGCGGGGCCTGCTTAAGGCCGTACAAATCCTTGTGTAATTTGCAGGCCATTGGAGTATTACTAGGAATATCAAATTTGGGAGGTTGGCTCATGTACACATCCTCTTCTAGTGTGCCATTTACAATCAGCCAACTTCCTGTTTTGAGGAGTGGGAACTATTGACCAAGTTCCATTTCTTACAAGAGCCTGAAACTCTTCATTCATTGCTTGTTTCCATTTGGGAGAAAGCAAAGCTTCTTCAAGAGAATTTGGTTCTGACTCCTCAATGACTTCCATATTCCACACCTTAGGTTTTTGAATGCCATCTTTGGCTCTTGTGGTCATTGAATAAGTATTTTCGGCCTGCTTGTCTCTTCTTCGGTATGTACGTTTTATGGCACGAGGAATTGCTGAATCATAGGCAATTTGAATAGGTTCACATGGGACTGACATGTTTGGATTTACTGTATGACTCAGAGAGGAAAGTAGATTATGACTAGATTCTAGGATTGGTGTGTGTGACGTGCGAGAGGGTGGTGAATTTGGGGTGATGTTGATTTGAACAGGTTGAGAGACATGATTATTTGTTTCTGGTGTTTCAGTGAATGACTGATCTGTTTTATTTCTGGTTTGTGGGGGCTAAATTGTAGGAATGACAAGAGCACTACAATTAAGAAATTCTTGATAAAGAACAGGATTAGTTTGATCATTTTTATGACTAAAAGAAAATGATTTTTCATAAAAAATAGTGTCTTGACATGTAAATTCTGCCATTAGGAGCAAGGTACTTATATCCTTTGTACTGAGTGCTATATCTTAAAAAAGTGCAAGGAACAGATATGAACCGCAATTTATGAGCATTATATGGTCTAATATAAGGATAAACAGTACAACCAAAAACCTTGAGTTAAGAGTAATTTAGTTTTACCTTGTAAAAAACCTCATGCCACTTCTGTGCTCGAGAACCTTTGTTGGAAGCCTGTTAATTAGATACACAGCTGAAGAAAACGAATCATCCCAGAATTTTAAGGGCAGATGTGCATGAGATGCTTATTCCAGATATACTCGTGCATTGACATGCTTCCCTTCTTAAGAGTTTGAAGCTGCAACTTATACTGCTATCTTGGCCTGAGGTTGAATGGCAAAAGTTTGTTAGGAAATTATGTTTCCTAATAATAATTATGGACCACCTATTTATAACAATTATATTAACGTTATTTAATTAATTAGACTAATTAAGTGGTCTAATTATGAAGAACTCAAATAATCTCCTAACTAGGTATGGACTAAATGGGTGGATACCTATTATTGACCCAATTAGGTTTAATGGAAGCTTAATAGAACAATATATATAGAAACTTAAGTTATGGACTCCAATACGTTAAATTATTCAGCCGTTTTCCCTTTTCTCCATTTAGAGAGAGAACACTCCTTCAAGAATCTGGTGATTTGACTGAAGAAGACAATAACTCAACATGTTCGTTGTTGAATTTTACTGGAGATTAAGACTGCATCAATGGAGACATGTATTTATTCTAATCTATTTTCTTAATAATTTGGTGTGATAATTCTTAGAATATGAATAAGGATTAAAGTCCAACAAAGTTCTCTCAAGTGTGCTCCAAAGTTCACTCGATGTGTCATTCCCCACCATATTAACAAGAACAACTTCAGTAATGGAGGAGAGAAGCCAAGAGGCCAGCAGTTGGTCTTGCCTCTGCCATAAAATGAAGGCAGGGTCAGTAGGCCCCGGTAACCCATTTAAACCGATGAGAAATTATAAAGGACGTGGGTAGATTCCAAGAAGACAACCCGCTAGGCCATAACCTCGAGCTGCAACCATAAATTGTTTCCTCCAGAGTAGGTAGTTTGTCTCAGTCAAGCGAATGGAAATAGCTTAGTTTTGAGGTTAAATAAGCTGGAATTGCTGCACAACAACAGGGACAATGGGATTTTCTTGTGGCTGTTGGTTTGGTTCATTCTGAGGCTGTTGATTTGGTTCATTTTGAGGAAGGTTTTGGTATCTGGGTTGAGGTTGGCCATTTTTAGAAAGGTTTAGAGCAAAAGCTCTGATACCATGTAAGAAGTAGGAATTCTTTAAAACCTTTAGAATGATTTATTGCTCTGCTTTACAATGTACAACGTTACATTCATGTAGAATCTAAATGAAAAGGAAATGACAGAGGAATGCTAGCTGTACAAGGACACGTGTAGCCTATATATTTGAGGGCCTAGGAATGTTGTGACAGTTATAATACACCAAAACTTAGCAAATTTATCGGCACATCCGATATGTATAAGAAAAATGAAAATTCATTCTCATGGATAAAGAAAGAGTCATACTCCACTCATTACGCGATCTCCAGAGAATATGCAAAGGCTTAAAACTCAAAAGATAAATGATCAAGGAGGATAAAATCATTTTAACATTCTACCTATCTTGGTACTTGTGTTTTTAATATTATTAAAATAATATCTTCACTTTTAAATAAATATTCTTTCGCTATTATGACACTATTTGTGAGACATAAAATATATATTCTACCCTTCCAATTAATTCACAACAAACTAATAATTTTTTAAAAAAATATGAAAATACTTTAAAAAAATTAAGAAATTAAAAATTACAATAAGTTAAAATGTTTTTAGAAAATATTTTTAAAGTCCTTAGTTTATATTTATTTAATAACAAAGGCAGTTTAAACATTGTACTTTTCAAAAATCATTGTGAAGTTACTGAAAGAACATTTTTTTTTTTTAGAGTGAATGTACCATTTAATATTATTAAAAACACATAATATTAACGAGATGTTTTCCTATAACAAGAGTATCAATATAATTTTACTTTTTAATTATATATTTTTACATCCTGAAAAAGAAATACTTTATGACAAACAAAGTTGATAATTTTTTTAGGGAAAATGACAGAATTAGATAAATTAAAATTAGGGCCGGCAATATGGGTCACGTCACGACGACACGACTCGAAAACGACACGAATTTTGCGGGTTAGGGTTGAGAAAAAAGAAGTTCGGGTCAGAATTAGATTGACCTGAAATTGACACGAAAAACACGGGTCAATTTTGGGTTGGACCCGCCTAACCCGAACACGACACGAAACTCGTAAAAACCTAAAAAATACATATATTTTTCATGGCATATTTTAAATTTTATTATAAACTTGTGATATCATGATAGTTATACTCAAAATCTTATACTATTATTTGCTTAATTTCAATGGATGTTATTGTAATTTAGTGTGTTATGAATTTTAAGTTATTTTAAATATGTAAAAAACTAAATAAAAATATACAATTTTCGTGTCAATTTTGGGTTCACGGGTCAATTTCGTGTCACGGGTCATTTTCGAGTCGTGTCGTGTCAACTCGTAAAGTGGTCGTGTCGTGTTTGTGTTGCGGTTTTTAAAAAATTTCGTGTTACGGGTCGTGTTTAGGTTGACTGCAAATTAAAAAAAAAGATCAAAACACGACACGTGACACGAATTGCCACTCTTAATCAAAATGTGTTGAAAGAAAAAATTCTTAAAATGAACTCTTAAAATATGTAGTGAAAAAAAAAATAAAAAAAAAAAGCCTGATTGGCAATGACTAGGCGAGTGTCCGGCGTACGAAACCGGCGACAAATATTTCTGTTTCCCAATTTGGGCTTCGCGAACGGTTGGTGTTGGTTGATGCACTACTACTAGCATAACAAGAATGCTTGGCTATATACCCAATGAAAGAATATGACTTTACAAAGAGCGTGGAATCACACGCATTCATAAAACCCCACACACAGTTAAAAACAAAAATTAATTAAATTAAAAATTAAAAAAACACACAAATAATTATAAAATTATAAAACCCCAGAAAGGAGAGAAAGAGGGACAAAAAAGAGAGACCAGCAGAGAGAGGCAGAGAAAACCGAAACCCCTCTTTCCAAAAGTCCAAACCCTAGTTCCTTCCATTCTCCCTCACTGCGAAACCATCTAGAATCTTCTTCGATCTGCGAATCACGTCTACGATTCCTCCGAGATTCCTCTCCGGCCTTCCAATTCCGGCAAATTTCTTCGCCGGAAAATCTCGCGCGCGAAGAATTTCGTTTTGGAGAAGAACTTTCTCGATTCGCGGGTGGGTCAAATTCGTCGCCGGAATCTGCGCGTCCATAGGCGAGCGTTCTGATTTGTCGGAGTTTATCGGTTTTCGCTGCTCATTTTCGTCGGGAATTGATTTCGATAGCGAGTTGAAGTCTGGGAGTAAACCCGTTTGCCAAGAAAGAGGAACGAAGACGAAGCGGGAGCTGGAATTTTACCGTTTTGTCCTCGTGATCTGAAGCAGTGAGGGAAGTGAATTTGAGGATCCATGTCAAAGGTGTGCGCTTTAGCTCTATTTTTCCTTCTATTTCTGGATTTATTTTCCAATTTTGGTTGAATATGATGTTTATCGCTTTTAGAATGACCATGAGAATTTTTTTTCCTTCGTAATGTCAAATATTTGGTCAAAGTTAACAACTTTTGTCGTACGAGTTTACCTTCTGGTTTTGTGGGAAGTTCTTTGATTTCTTTGTAGATTCGTTTCTCTGTCTTTTGATTTTACGAATTTTCATGGGGTTAAGTTTTTTTGAACTATGCTTACAAAATGGATTCTCTTTAGGGTCAAATTTCGGGTAAAAAAGAAGATTCAATGGTTAAGGTCTGATAATTCAGAGATTGGAGATAATATGTTCCCGTAATAGAAATCTTTATGGGATAAGAAAGAATTAGCTAACTAGTGCTTCTGTTAATTCAAATTGTCGTTGCACTAGAGCCTTGTAGCTATAGTACACATATTAGTACATTATGGGAACTTGGAACAGGTCAAGAGCTTTGATTGATTAGCAATGAGTTCGTGTTTAAACGTTAAAAATATATTACTCCTTGAAGTGGGAAAGGCTTTTCCCAGGAGTGTAATATCAATTAATGTTTTATGGATCTTAACTTTTAGCTATTTCCATCTCCATTATGTGGCTTCGTTTTGAGAATCAGCATATTGCTAATAATATCGAATAAATAAAGGTTGGCTGCCCTGTCGACCAGCAATCTACCTCTGGCTTTTGGTCTTGGTCGGAATCTCATATCCAACCTTTGTATGATGTACGCTGCATGAATGTTTGGGTTGCCATCAAGATGTCCCTTATCAATTATGAGGTCATAGACTTATAATGTGATTCACTTGTAGAAATTGTAGGCATAGGTATTTGGAGATTTATACTAAACAAACATGTATGATCTTGCATGATTGCATCACAAAAGGCATGCTGTTATTTTTCTTCTTGTGCAGTTTGAACTTCCTTTCTCCTTCTTTACGTTATGATCTATTAATTAGTGGAAAAAGAATTAAGTAGAGACCTAAGTATAAAATGTTCTTGATATATCAAGTATCCTTTCTCAACTTTTCAATTATTGATGCTTGATTGCTGTCAAAACTACTTTTTTCTTTTCTTTGTCTTGAAACTGCAGGTGTTAACAGCACGCCATTTCATGAGATATTGACTAATGGATCCTGAAATCAAGAAGTTTGGAAGAGGTAAAATGTTTGTTGTATTTATATTCATTCTATGGTTCTCATGATATCTTTTTGTTGGTTTTATATATATTCAAGTTATTTTTAGTAGGCATAAAGGTTTCTTCATATTTCTTTATGTTTTGTGTTGAAGTTGGATCTATTTCTCTATATGCTATTATGCACGGTGCTCGTAGTTTTAAGATGCTCTCCTAATTTATTCTAGGACCAAGGGAGCTGACTGGTGCTGTTGATCTTATAAGTCACTACAAATTGCTAGCCCACCATGATTTTTTCTGCAAGCGGTCACTTCCTTTGGCAATTGCTGACACACACTATCTTCACAATGTGGTGGGAGATACGGAAATCAGGAAAGGAGAAGGAATGCAATTGGATCAACTTATTCAGAATACATCGTATTCAAGAGATACTAATGCTCGCATACAGCCATTTGACCTAGATATTCTTCAAGAGGCCTTCCAACTTAGGGAAACTGGCCCCATTGATTTGCCACCAGTAAGATATTTGTTGCCTTGAATGCTACGTCTGTTTCAGTAACTATGTTATTGTTTTCTCATGCTGGAAAACAGATCTTGCTGTCTTTTCTTCTCTCACACTCTAATAGATTTACGTTAAATATCCTTTCCATAGTATAGAGCTACAATGCATTATCTTTTTCATAAAACACTCATTAATTTCACTTTTTTTCCTTCAGGCAGAGAAGGGAATTCTGACTATTGCAGGGAAGTCAAAGAGTGAGTTCAAGGACAAGGAGAGGAAACATAAAAAGCACAAGGACAGGGATAAGGAAAAAGATAAAGAGCATAAGAAGCACAAGCACCATCATAAGGATCGTAGTAAAGATAAAGACAAGGATAAGAAGAAGGATAAAAGTGGACATCATGATTCTGGTGCTGACCACACAAAGAAACACCATGAAAAGGTTTGGGAAACACTCTGAAGCTATCTTGCATTTCTTGGGCAGCTTTTTTGGCAAAAAGAAGAAATTTAATTCCATGTTTTTGTAGAGCCGTTATGCATATATACATGATAATCCTTGTTCAAGGAACAGATCATATTGCTTGAACTTAAAATGAGGTTATTTGTTTTAATGGAGTGGAGGAAGCCAACTGGACAAATAAACTGATCAGTTATTTTCTGTTACGCAAACTAAGCATTTCCGTTTCATGTATTTGCAGAAAAGGAAGCATGAAGGAGATGAAGATATTAATGATGTTCACAGGCACAAAAAAAGTAAGGTAATACAGATACGATATCTTTCTTTTCTGAGATCTTATTGGTGTTCTTTCCAACCTTATTCCTTTTCATTTGGTTCTTGTGTCTATTATTACAAGTTATACTTTTCTGAGATCTTATTGGAGTTCTTTTCGACCTTATTCCTTTTCATTTGATTTTCATGTCTATTGTTACAAGTTATATTTTCAGTCTCTACTTGAGCTGATACAGTCTCTGTTTACTGTTTCAGCATAAGAGCTCAAAAATTGACGAAATGGGTGCAATTAAGGTAGCAGGCTGAAATCGTGGCATCCAAACCTTGTTTTGTTTTCCTCGTTGCTTGTCGTTTAGAGTTTGGAGGGGTCTATTATTTGACGTATGAAATTGCTTGAGGTACAAACCCATGTCCCTTGCCCTTTTTTTAATTAAGTTTTATTAGATTGTGCATACAAAGGAAAGCAATCGTTGTTTATTTGGTTGGGTCAGTCGACTAAACTTGTTTCATCATCATGGCTTTTCAATGATTCATAATAACATTATGCCTCTTGCATTTCACGCAGACTAGCTTTTGAACTGACTAAAGATTGGGGAGGTGAATTCACCTCTTGAGAAATATGTGGAGTCAAGGTAAAAGTTAAGTGAAAATGAACTTTTTCTTCCCCTTTTGTATAATAACAATCGTCTTATATGAATGCTCGTAATGGAAGGAACTCTGATCTTTACTTCTGTGGTCGCTTTATGTCATGTACACAAGTTAATATTTGATCGCTTATTTTTTTCCCCTGTTAGATTTTCAGTCATATTAACTCATTTTTAGAGTTAGAGTCTTCAGTTGTAGGGAGAATAGGTGAAGAAGGGTTTGCGTTCCCCATTTTCCCCCCCTTTTTTCTGTTGTATCAATGAAAAATTGTAGTTGCTAAAAGGGCTTTTTGTTGATTTGGGTTTTAACCCAGAGGTCCTTGAAAACGTTCCAAAATTTTGCTAGTTAGATTTCAGAAGGACTGTAATGTAAATCTCGGCTCTTTATTTTTCTTCTTATTTAATTTTTGCGTTTTACTGGGGGGTTGGGTCTTCCCATTAAAGTTTTCAGCTCTAATGATAATACAAAACCAAGAGATGGAAGATTCCCATTATTGCAAGATCTTTTGTTTGAGGATAGAGTTTAGAGTATTCTCATGGTTACATATTTGTGTACCTTACTTTGTGATGTAGTTTAACTTGGGTTGACGCCTTTTTTTTTTGTTGGAAAAAAATAAAAATATAAAAGAGCCACCCAACCCCAAATTTAGGGTTTGAGCTTCTTTGCACATTGGCGAGTCTATTGGTCTGTGCTTATTGGGAGTATCGTTTACGAGGGGTTTTTTTTTTTCTTCTTTTGGTGTAAATAATATGAGTAGTACGTTTATGAGGCTGAGTTGTTACTTGTTACCACCTGCGGAGTACAGCTTGGGAAAGGAAAGCATCTCTATGACTATCTGATGTACCATGTAACTGCGGTAAAGGGTCACCTTCTTACCTTAAAATGCACATCAAGAATCTTTACCATAAAGGTTGAAAATTATACGCCTTGCTTTTTTCTATAATAAGACAGACAAGAAATCAATCGCCAAATTGCTCTCTATTTTGTGTATTGCTTCATTTTTGTGGCCTTTCCCTTGACCTTTTTCTGAGTGGCTCAAAAGTTCGGTTTCTTTGCTTTGCTTCATAACTAACATGGTACTATTTCAGGGTAAAAAAGAAGGGAAAAAAAAAAAAAAACCTAAAACTAACATGGTACTATTACTAAAAGCAAAAGTGGCGAGCCACCTTTCACTGCCATAAAGGCAACATAGATCTTAAAATTCCAGGCGTTATAGTATGGCTTTTATAAGAGTTCAGCTCTTTTAAAAGTTTTTGGCAACGCAGCTCTCAAGGCAAATTATGGCTTAAATTTAAATTTTGGTTTTGACTTGATTCATACTAATTTAATGTGCCCTAGCGAGAATCGAATAAAAAAGTAAGGAAAAGCCAATACCATACCTTCCATAAACTGGTTGGTGACTAACCGATGGCGTGGTGCATAAGTCATGAATTATATTCCTTACAAAGGATCGCAAGGTACTAAAATGAAGCTATTATGAAGTGCAAGCAAATGGAGAAGGTGGGTTTGAAACCAATAATCAAATAGGAGCCCTTAATGATGTGTTTATTGATCGATTTTTAAAGATGGAATTATGATCGTTGTTTGGTGGACATTATGCGCTGATGTAGTGGCCCTTGGGTTGGCATGGCACCAACAGTATTAGGTGCCCGTTAGGTTGTAATCATTAAGCTTTTCGGCAGAGCTCATTGATGGCTAATGACATAGTAATTGAGTAGCTAATATTAACACGCATGCATTACAATTACAGACTTGTTAACATACACTGTCCTTGCCCATCTTATTCCGCCTGTTAAATTAGCTGCTCTTCTTTTTTTTTTTTCCTTTTTTTTTTCAGCTGCTGTGAATTGTTGTGATGGCCCAAAAAGATGGAAAAGGATTTTTTGTGGCCGAACGTTTTGTCTGCTGACAATTCTCTCCCCTCACCAGGTGAGGCTACAGTGAGTTGTGACATGTTAAGTGTCGCTAAACGTCGTCGTCATTTGACAATTGCATTTGCACAAGGCTTCTTTAGTTCTTTCATTTAGGGGACCACGATATTTCGGCATTTAAGCTGTCAACAAGGGGTACTTCATAGTTTATACTCGTACTTTATGAAATGATAAGTACTTGGGATATTACGCGTGTTGTTTGAAACTCACCTATTATTAAGGTGTGGAATTGATCAACAATGGTATCCTTTAGCATTGTTCCTATAAAATAGGAATATTTGCAAAAACTGTCCGATTAAAATTTGCAACAAAAAAAAAAACCTGATCCTATATGGTCGCTAGCTCTTAAATGCAACAAAATACTAAAGGAGAAATTTTAGCCAACAATGGTTTTTGGCTCTGAAAGAATCTAACACTCATCCTTGTAGTATTCTCTGTTTGTTTTTATATCTTTTCCTCTCTGGCACGGTCCACGAGAATTTCAGTACGGACCACAGATCGAAGGTTCTCCTGCTCTTGCCAACCTTACCATTTTTGGAACCTTGTTTGTAGCATATAATACATTAAATCCGTCGACTGATACAACTTCTTTGCGATGTGTGCCTCGGATGTAGGAAGCAGACCATATGGTAAGAATTAGAAAGCACGTAAAGACAAACGAGACAATGGAACCAAAACCAAAAACAATGTTACAAAAGGAGTCTACTCTTAGTTGTTCCCATGTGAAGAGAGTTTGGCCTTGTAAGGAGAAGAGATGATGAGGACCCCCCCACCACATCATTAATAATTAGTTAGTAATTGATTGTGTTACAAAACGAGTCAATATTATTTCAATCATCATAGGCCGGGATATATAATCAAAGAGGTTAGAAACAGTATTGTTAATCATTCCCTTTTGCATAATTAGGATACTACCAATTTTGTCACTAGAACTTATATAGGTCCACTCACTTAATGGTGATCATGACCTTGAGATGAAACAATCGAAAAATTAGTTCATCTTTCTTTTCCTTTTGGCCTTTCACAGTAGGATACTCGCTTGTAGAGTGCATATTTCTTAACGTTAAATCTGATTAAAATCACATTAAAATAAGAAATCATGTATAATTGATGAAACTTACTTCTACTGGTAACTTACTTTTTCATATTAGACCATAAAAATTGATTTTTTTTTTCAAAAAAAAAAAATAGTTATTCAAATAACAAGAACTGAAAGGCTACAAAATATCTGTATATACGGCCGATGTGGTACGTAAATATCATTGTCCTCTTTTGAGAAGTTCCTAGGAAGGAAAACTCATGATCTAGCTATAAGGTGAAACTCCCACAACCATACGTACTTGATCAGTTTATTATGTGGTTTTAACCAAGATTTGGTCTGTCCTACTACTTTCAGAAAAATATTAATGCCTTGTTGTACATGTTTTTTTTCCCCCCACTATTCTCAGTTGTTTCTGTGTTTAAACCAGATTCCCTTTCTAAAACCTTTGAGAAAACCTGTCTTCTTGTCTTTTTCCTTGCCTTGTTTGCAAAGAATGTGCCATTTATAAGAAAAAATTGCGAATAAATGGATTTTTTTCCACTAAAGTTCTTTGTTTTTATGTTTTTTGTTCTTGCTAGGATACTTGCTTCAGCTCTTTTTTTTTTTTTTCTTTTTTTTTCCCTTTCCTTGGATACTTTTTTTTTTACTATTTTTTTCTTGGAAATAGACTTTCTTTCACCTTTTATCCTTTCTTATATGGGCATCCTAGAAAGTGTGTGCGCGAGTGCGTAAATATGTGGTCTCAAAAGCAAAAGCGAGGGGGTAAAAACAATGTTTTTTAAGGACAATGTAGGGCTATGTGTAAGGTACGTAACCATGGCTTCAAACCCTACTTGATCATGCAGTACTCGTAAAAATTACAAGCCAAATTCAACTAGAAAGTTGGAAAATAGATAATTTTAGAATTTGATATTACAGTTTTCCATAAATAAGGACAGGATAACTGATTAAAAAAAGGCTCAGCACACCATAATTAGCTAGATTGACTCCCACTAAACGACTCGTCCTTATCAAATTCCGCTCTACGTACTTCATCACTAATAAAAAGGGAAAAAAAATACCGAATATGAAAAAGATCTGCCCGAAGTGGATGGTTATTTAACTTTACCCTTTTCCTTCTTTATTCAGTTTATAGCGAGGAGCAATAACAAAAATCTCCACTTATATCTCTATCTCGACCTTGTTGTTTATTGAATCCCATAAGTGCAATTAGAATATACCATGCAACTTGCAATATATAATTTAGAGACCAAAGCGAGCCATACATCCTTTTTTGACTAATATTTTATGGAAAATTTTGGTAGAAAGTGACACCTAAATGAGTAATATCGTTATAATTTGGCGGGGAAGATTAATATTTCTTAATGACGTCTCTCCAAAGATTAGGAAAGAGATCAGTAAAAGCAAAAATGGTTCAGTGCTTTAGTGGCTTTTTTAAAAGGTATGAATCTCCTTTTTTTTTTTTTTTTTTTTTCCTGAGAAACCCCACTTTGAAAATCTTTAGCGCTTAGTAAAGCTTAATATTCTTAAAGAATCATCGGCCGAAATTATTTCATCTAAAAAGAAGAAATTAAAGTTCTGAAGAATAAAGACTGATAACAATCATATAAACCTGAAAAATCGTGTTGGTGAATCTGAGAGCTATCTATAACGTGGGATCTGAAATCTTTTTCATCAAGAGAATAGTAATATTGTTTATCAAAGCTCGGGTAGATTAACAAAAGATCTGCAGTCTAATCTCAATTTTTGTATCAACTATTGAATTGTCGTCCTTTTATTAATAAATACAATCAATTGATGTGATAATATTTTAAAAATCTCCCATTAAAAAAAGGCAGCTCAAAAATTAATATAAAAGTTGAAATTAAAGTTGATCATGTCTCTAACTAGTATTATTTGTCTAATAATTTGGAGGATAATTACACGTGCTTACGAGAAATCACTAATAGCTAAACTTGTCAATGTTTCATTAAAAGTTGATCACCGTTTCTCGCATTATATATAGTGTATAAATTACTAAAAATTACATGATAATTAAATTACGTCGTACCTTAGCACATCATCTCTTGATTTCATTGCATGTCCGTAGATGCCGAGAGAGTGGGGACTTTCTCTTCTTTTTTCTTTTCTTTTTTCTTTCATACTCTTTATTTCCACTTTTTAGCAAACAATACTGCAACAAAGCTGTTGTTTTTCTTTATTTTGCCTTTTCTCCTTACATACGTGTACTTCCATAGAATGATTTTGCAAAAATCACGAACAAAAATCAACTTGAAGTAAATAAAAATAAATGTTAATGCATGAGCAAAGGGACAAACAAACGATTTGTTTCTTATTATTATGTGCAATAACAGGTTTCTCCATTAATGTTCATTATAATACACACACACACACGCATATATATATATATATATATATATTTGTAGCTTTTGCAGCTTCTTAATTACCTAGTTGGTTAGTTCATATCATACGTCCTTAAGAAATGAAAAAAAAAAAACTGAATAATCAAGCCAAAACCCTAGTCCATTTCCAATTTAACTATCCTTTTGAATCTTTTATTTTTTTTCCTGAGAATAACCTTTGAATCTTGCTTTGTACATTTTTGTCCCCTAATTAATTATTTTCAGCTCTTTCCGATATATTGGTCATGTAATCTGGAGATATAGGACACTTTATCTACCATCCAATTGAAAAATAAGCTTGTGGAGAATATATTATAGCAATCTATAAAAGCACCTTCTAATATTTTCTTTCATTTTGACGTTTAATTGGCCCCCGATCGATGTCACACCCTATATTATTGCCAACGGCTTGTCTCTTTTCATTTGTTAATTCTTGATCATGATATGGAAAGCTACACTTCCCATTTCATAAAGTTAGGTTGTACATTATTTTATTATTCTTGTTATTACATCGTTGTCTTTGTTTATGATTTTCATTATAGAATAATACAGAATATATATATATATATATAACTTTAACTTTTGTGTGTGTGTATATATATATATATACATATGTATGTATGTATGTATGTTTGGCATTGCAAAATTCCCCAGCCGTCTGCCATAAAATCCTCCCAAAAAGCTGAGATCAATATATGTAAATACCTTGGGCATTATCCCTTGCCTTAAACAGTATATACTAGCGAGCGCCTATTTCTTCCCTCTTTTTTCAATTACCTTTTAGAAGACATCTAAAGACTAACATATCAGTATAATATTAATGAAAGGTAGGTGAAATTTTGATTTCTCGCAACTCTTTTTATACTTGCTTTTGTGTGGATATTATAATTTTCGACCATAACCTGATCCATGTATCATGTATATATATATCTAATAGTATTTTGAATAATTAGACTAGCCAACCTATTAAGATACACTTTAAACTACCCATAATTTTATTGAAAAATTTAAGTTCATTGCGGAGAAAACATCCCATGTGAATCTCTAGTGATAAACAATAAACTAAGTACGTGAGGATATATTTTTGTATATTTTTATTTTCAACATCCTCTTAAAATGTTCTCAGGTTTAAATCTCGACAGTTCTAACGTAAAAAGTCTTGCTTGACTCAGAGATGAAACCAAGAAAATAAGTTGTAAGGGTCCATAAGCAACAAATGGATTGGACTGTTTTGTGGCGAGGGTGAATTAGAACTTTAGAATTTTAGGAGCGCAAACAACAGATTTCATTTATAAAATTGAAAGAAAAATCCAATTGAGATGATCATCGCCTATTCTCGACTGTATGTGGCTCCATCCCTCCCTGGTCTGGTTAATATAAACAATACAATTATATACTCGATATTTCTTTTATATATCAAAGTGAGAATGGGGTGACATCACACTAATAATTCCTATTTTTTCATTAAAAATAAATATTAGTATGACACGTAGAAAGTTGTGACAATCCAGTACTAATTCTGAGTTTATTACTGCTCTATTTCTCGAATGCCCACGAAGCACTATAGTAAATACAAACATTTACATTCAGTCAATGCAAAATTTTGACTACATTAAGTTAGGAGACATTTAATTCATGAATTAAAATTATGAGATTAAAATTATTTTTAATTTACGTGAATTTTTTATAAAAAAAAATATTATAATAAATTACGAATCATAATTTAAATCGACGTACGAATCTCTTAATCAAACAACTCCTTAGTTTAACAATAAGAGACGGAGAGTTAGAGTACCGATGTCGGCTTGAAACATGCGACTAATACTATGCATATTGCAGGCAGTTCAGCCTTAGATGGTCATCATCAAAATATCAATATAAAGGTATATATAATTGAATATGAGAACCATAATTATGGATCTTACGCTTAAACAATAATCAATCATTTTCTCGAACGTTGACAGATTTGGGACGGGCATATGGTACGATGTATTTAATATATATACACATATATAGAAAGGGGTAGATGGTTCTGTATGGTGTAGACTGTAGATCCATAACTATGAGAAAAAAAAATTAAAAGAAAGGACAATTAGAATTGATTATTGGGTGACACTCGGAAGAGACAAAAGAATCAATATTTTTTTGGTGGGTGGGAATAGGGTACCCTAAAGAAATAGAAAACCCACGTTTTGTGAGTACAACGCTATAGTCCTTGGTTGGGCCCACCGACGCAGTCCTGAGGGCCATAATATAAAAGAAAGTGCATGCAATATTTTCAGGAAGAAAGAGGAAAATATGTTGAGATTTGAGATAAATTAAAATTAATAGGTTAATAGTTTATATAAGTTAATAAATAGATTAAATTATTATTTTTATCTATAATTTGTCTGATTATGAACCATAACTTGATAAGTTATTGTCCATAATTCATAATTTTTATCCATAACTTGTCTGATTATGAATCATAACTTGACAAGTTTGTTCATAACTTATCTGATTATTAACTATAACTTGACAAGTTATAGCCTATTAATTTTTATAACTAAAAATTAACATATATACTTTCTTAAACTTTTTATATTGACATATTTTCTACTATTTCTGATATTTATATCCCAACACATAGGAGCTACTTTAATAGGATTAAAAAAATTAAGTTATTAGTAGTTTTTTTTATTTTTATCATATTATATTTATAGAAATTGTCTTTAATTTGATATTAGAGCGATGTATGTATATTTTTTTTTATTTTCTTTGAAAATATATATAATATGAGAAGACACTAATAATTTATCTAAACATCTATATACATATATTTTTTTAAATATAAAAAAAATATAAATTAAAGAGTTAACTTACATTTATATTAAAAATTATTTATTTTATGTAATTTTATTTTAATTTAATAATTAAAAGTTGACCCTAATCTACCGCATAAACTCCCTAATAATGTTGGAAATGAGGCGTCGGTGATTCTTGTATGGTCAATATTCTTGGTTTAGACTTATTAGTACACACCACAAAGTGGCCATCCACACGACAATAAAGTTTTCTACGACACGAACGCAGTCGGAGTGCTGATGCTACTACCGAGATAGGCCACCCGCCTACTCCTTGTCACTTAGCACACGCGTAAGCTTCTATTTCTCATTTTTATGTTTGATTTTTTTGTACAATTGTACGGTAAGTCGGTAATGTGTCGTTTGGCTTTAATTTATCAACCTCATACTACCATCAATGGTAGAGTCATAACATTTCGTCTGCAGACCACCGTAGGACAAAAATAATAAAAACGTTGATAGAAATTTTAATTATTAACTTTGTTCATTTTATTAATTTAAATTTTTAATTTTTAATTTTTACAGTAAAATTTTTTTAAAAAATGTCACATTTAATTTTTTTTGTTATAATAAAAAATTCTTAAAAAATGTCACATTTCAACTCGAATCCGCAAAGTGAACATTTTTTTTTGTACGTTTTTTTTTTTGTTCTCAAAAAATTTAATGTAAATATTAAATTTTCAAAAACTATAAGTGTAGGTAGGTATCCCATTCAACTATAAATAGTTTCGTGATTGGATGATGAGGATGTTTGGTAGAGGAATTCGTTTCCTGATTCGAATCATGATTCGTGGTTCGCTACAATATTTTCTCTCACAAAAAATTCACGTAAATCGAAAATAGTTCGAATCACATGGTTTGAATCCTCCAACTAAACGTCCTTGCATCTTCCAATATATTTTAATATTCAACATGTAAATATATATACATGACACACGAAAATGTCAAGATGAAATACTTTTTTTTACCTCATTAGTTTGTCTCCTATTATTTGTTTACAATCTACAAATACATTAGTGTATAAAAGCATGTATTTCGGATCTAAGGTGTCCAACGGAATATGGTTTAGAATTGCATGTATCTTTTTAACCATTTTTTAAGCTCGAAAACAGACATGAAAATTAGGAAAAGAAACTTTAGAATTATGTTATCTCTAGAAAGCTAAATCCGTGAATCGATTAAGCATGCAAAATCCAAAAAGGCAGTGTCAAATCTCTAGCGCAATCATAGGTAAAAGTAACTAAAAATTCGTATTTGATTTGAGCTGAAAAATTCAAGTTGGGTATTTTATAATATCACAAGAATTAAATTCTACATTATCTTGAGAAAATCATAACACTATAAATGTATGCCATCATGATTGGTTATTATCAGAACGAAGTCAAAAAAGTTGATTTTCAAAAAGCATTGCAATTCAATTATATATGTACATCTTTCTTTTTCCGCATTTAAATTTAATAGTAGAGAAGACAATCTTTTTCTTCTTCTTATTCTTCTTTTTTTTTTTGTTATTTCAAGTATAGGAAAGAAAATAATCGCTGAATGCACTCCTTGTTGGCAATGCAAATTACCATTTAGTTCGTTAATTTAAATTTTTAATTAGAGTTGAGATGTGACTTTATGTAAGAGTTTTTTTATTATAGTAAAAAAGAAAAGACGTTTGGTTCATGAATTAAAATCATTTTCAATTTACGTGTATTTTTTGTGAGAGCAAACACTATAACGAACCACGAACCATGATTCGAATTGGGGTATGAATCTCCCAACCACAACTCATAAATGTGATTATTTCTAAGAACATTTTCCTGTAATAAAATTTAAATTGGTGAAATGAACGGAGCCTAAAACTTCCTCTAAGTCCAAGGAGACCAATATTAAAGCCACTTTAAATAAAATAATATCAATAATGCCATACCAAAGAAAATAAAAAAAAAAATTCATTGCATTTATGAGACACACAGATTGCCTAATTAGCGGGGCATGTCTATGCTTTACACAATTAGGAAATACGTATATATCATCCATTATATTAGGCTATGAATAAAACTCAACAAACCAAATATATTAATGGAGTTGGATAGAAAAAGTACATCAATAGAAGTCTATTCTAAATAATAAAATTTGTGATACTTATTTGTTTTATATATTTTTTCCTTATAATATGATTTTAATTAAATTTAGTTTGAAAACATGTACTAAAATAAAGTTCATATATTAGAAAAGGGCAGAACAGAAGCTAAAATTAGGGGATGTAAATGGAATCTGGCTCACACAGATTGCCTAATTTAGCCGGTATGTCCGAAATTTACACAGTTAAGAAATAATTGAAAAATAAGAATAAAAAAACAGAAAAGTTTGGGTTATGCCAAGTCGTCGTCGTCGTTCACCGGAAGGAAGTAGCAGTAGCAACAATTTAGCGAAAACACTGATACGAGTACGACCAGCAGAATCTTAGCTGGATGCAGCATTTGATTTATCAAATACTACTTTCACTCCAAAATCATCCTACTTTTCACTCCCCAGATTCAACCTTTTTACACATCTCTCTCTCTCTCTCTCTAAATCTGCAAAACAAACAGTCCCTACCAAATCCTTCGCCATTACTACAAACTCCCTTCTCTCTCTCCCTCTCTCTCACAAACTGGGGAGTCCAGGCTACTAACTACAATACAATGCTCACCACATTATCGTGGCTTCTGTCTTTTTTAGTCTTATTGTCCTTCGAATCCATTGTCGTTTCCCCTTCTCCTCGGCGAAGGATCCCCCCCCAGCCATACGTCCCCCTCGATTCCCTCCCTCCCTCGGAACCTCCATTGCCGCCTCCCAGCCCTAACCCTAACCCCAAGTACCCTTTCTCCACTTCCCCGCCTTCTACTCCCACAGATTCCCCTTTCTTCCCCTCCTTCGTCGCTTCTCCGCCGCCGCCTTCTCCGGCGACGTTCGCCTCTTTCCCTCCCTCATCTTGCCCCATTCTTCTTCCCCGAAGTCAAGCTCTCACAAGCTTGTTGCTCTCTCGATCGCCGCCGTCGTCTCCGCACTCGTTGTTCTCGCCATTGCCGTCTTCTTCTACCGGCGGAGGCGCAGCCGGAGGAGCGACCTCTCTGAAGACAAGACTTTCAGATCGGAGAACAGCAGTAGGTTGTTTCCGGCCAGCAATGCTGAGAGGACTAACACTAGGGCGCAGAAGCTGCGGACTGGCTCCGCCGCGAGTTCCGAGTTTCTCTACCTGGGGACTCTGGTCGATTCGCGGAGGATCGACGAAGGAGTCAATCCGAGCAGTAATGGCGAACGCGAAGACCGGTTTGACGCTCGGAAAATGGAGTCGCCGGAGCTTCATCCGCTTCCGCCGCTTGCTCGGCAGAATTTGGGGCTTAACAGTGGCAACAACGGTACTGAAGTGAATTCCACTGCCGACGACGAAGAGGAAGAGTTTTACTCTCCGAGAGGGTCTTTGGGCGGACGAGATAGCTCAATTGGCACTGGATCGGGTTCGAGGAGAGCTTTCGCCGCCGTGGCCGGCGAAAATTTCAAGGGAAGGAACAGTGGTTCTAGTGAAGCTTCGCGCACATCGTCTTGTTCAGCTTCGCCTGATCGTTCGCACTCGATTAGCTACTCTCCGCCTGTGTGTTCTAGTCCCAAAAGAGCAGAATTCAAGTCTTCCGTGTCTTCAGATTTACAGGCTCCACCACCACCACCACCACCACAACCACAAATGGCTAATGAAAAGACCGTAATTTCACCCTTTTCTTCTCCTGGGAAAGTTTCAGAGAAGAATTCAGTTGTTTCACCACGGATTTCCAATGTTTCCCATGAAAATGTACGGTCTCCTTCGTTATCTCCGCTTTCTTCTTCGCCAGATAGAGCTCTGAAAGGATACACAGGTACATTTGATGGATTTAGGCCATCTCCTTTACAGTCTTCGGCGTCGTCCTCACCGGAGAGAGGTTTGGAGAAGATTCCAGAAGCATCGCTTACAAAGCAATCTCCCTCTTTGTCATCTTCATCGTCGTCAGAGAGAGCTCTCCAGGGACACAGCGAAGTATCTCCTAGAACATCAAATGCTTCCGAAAGGAAGTGGCAGGTTTTTTCGCCGTCTCCACCTTCTCGCTCGCCGGAGCGAGATTCGCCGAAAAACTCAGATGCAAAATCAATCATTTCGAATGATTCTGTTGGATTTTCGTTTGGTTTGGATCCTCAAAGGGGATCCCTT